CTTTTAGTAATCAGATTCAGCTCCTTTCTTTTTTTAATGTCTGGCAGATGGAAGTATTATTTTTTCTAAAAAAGGTTGTTGTTTTTTTCGCATTTGAACTCTGACTTGAAATGAGGTGAGAGAGTTTAAGTTTGGTATCTCTGGGGGGGAAAGATCACATTGCTCTTCTCCCTTAACGCAACCCCCCCCCCCGAGGTATTCCCAACATCTCCCTTACGTTGGCTCAGAATTAACTTCTGGATGAAATTCATCATGCGGGATTTCAACTGGCAAGTTTTAATTAGCAACAACAACAATAATAAAGGAGAGAGTGGTAGGGCCCCCAATTTGTGCAGAAGCCACCTTCTGAATCCTAGGTGTGTGAGGAGAGCTCTGGGCACCGCAGTGAAAGAAAGGCTAGGTGACAGAGCAACCTGGACCTTGGCAGGAGGCGGAAGGATGGGTGAAGCTGACATCATCCCATCCAATTTCTACCGCTTCTCTTTGCCTGCCCACCTCAGCTCTTCTCCTGCCTGTAACAGCTGGAATTAAGGCATCCCTAAATCCTCTTCCCTCTCCCACCAGGGCACATAGTGATAAAAGAGAAAGAGACAGTAGTCAAGGGACGTTCTGTGTCCAACTAGGAGTGCAATAATCTGGAGACAAATACAATGCATGGGACCAGCAGCTCTTAAAATAGGCACACATTACTCCGCAACCCCTGCTCCCATCAGGCACAGTGACCAATACGCCATACTCACTTGCCCAGACTCTCATCCCAGGTTTCCTCAAATGATACCTCCGGTGCCACACCCAGGGGAGAAACAAGGCTGATCAGTCTCTCACCCTATAATAATAATTTATTATTTGTACCCCGCCCACCTGGCTGGGTTTCCCCAGCTACTCTGGGCGGCTTCCAACAAAGATTAAAAATACCCTAGATTCCCTTTCCTGCTCCAGTCTCTTACCCTGGAGCCATTACTCTCACCCTCTTATAAATAGGCGGCTTACAAATCCCAGAATAAAAACAGCACACGCCTTTTGCCAGCAGCAGAGTGTAAGACTCTATAGTGCAGGGGTAACCAATACACTGCGCTCCAGATGTTCCTGAACTCCAGTTCCCATCAGCCCCTGACCAACATGGGTTGCAGTCCCAACTACAACAGGAAGGCACCAAGTTGGCCATCGCAGATACACAGATGATATAAAGCAAGCCTTAAGATACAGAACACCCCCCCCAAAAAAAATCAGTGGATTCAAAATTACAGGCAACACCCTCCCCCATTTACGAGTGCTCAATATGTGCGTGATTGCACACACGTGCATCGCACCAAACACGGAAGTGACCCCAAAACAGCATTTAACAGGGCAGAACCAGGTGTTTGCAGGCTTTTCCAATAGTGTTTTTCGAATATACACAATTTCACTGACGTGCATGGTACCTAGGAATGTAACTCTCGCTTAAGTGGGAAGGTTGCCTGTGCAAAATTTGTAAGTCGTGGGCAGGTGGAGGAGGGGGGAAAGGTATTCACTGGGTGCTAAAAAGACCACAAAGGTAATGCCTAGCACGTCTCTCTTTGGGGAGCGTGCACCACAGACTTGTCAAACCTTGGCTCCACCAGCTGTTTTGACCTACAACTCCCATCAGTCTAGCTAGTCTAGCCCATAGCCTGGGCTGAAGGGAGTTGGAGTGCAATATTGGGAAGGCACCAGGCTGGGGAAGGCTGGCTAACCATAACCAGGGTGCCACCACTGAGAAGGACCTTTCCTCGGGAGACCTCACATGGTGGAGATGGAAGGGCCACTGATTTCAGGGTCCGAGTATATACAAGAGGGAAGTGATGCTTCAGGTAACCTGTTTTCAAACTCTCTAGTACACTGGAGACCGAGACCAACACTTTGAATCAGGAGTGGAAGCCAACGCAGATGCTAATGGCCTAATATGATCAAATCACCCAGAGCCCATTAAACAGTCTTGCTATTCTGGACAAACAGCAGCTTTCAAAGGCAGCCTGACAAGTAACACATTGCAGTCAAGTGACCACAGTATGGATCACCCAAGCAGGGCTGTATCCAGCAGGTACAATTCATCAGCGACTCCAATATATCCCGTAATGGTGAACACCTAAAGCACTGATTAGCTGCCCTTTAACCTCCTTGTCCTACTCACAGGAAGGGTAATAAATGATAAGGCAGCATCTCTCCCTTCTTCCAAATCTCCACGCATGCCTTTTGAGTAGGCTGCAGAATCTCATGTAAATTATTGAGTTGGGAGCAAATAATGGGGCGATGGACATTTATTCTGGATTAAGGCAGAGCAGGAGGGCTTGACCTCACATGAACAATGCAGCACACACCAGCAGCAGCTGTAAACCAAGGTAGGAGGAATTCAGAGCAACCTCATTTCTGTCTGCTACCTTCCGACAAGGGGGACACGGAGTCGCTCCAAACTTTACACTTGGATTGCCGAGGCCACGGCCGGAGGCATGTCTGAGCCCTGGATTTCTTTTTCGCTGCTTCATTACCGGGGAAGACGGGCCTGAGAAGACCAACGGCCCGCTCATTAGAAACTGCTGATGAGGCTGTTCTTGAGGCTGTGTGGGAACCGGCTGAGAGATCAAAGCAAGCTGATGTGATTCAGAACCCAATTAAGGGCTTTGGATGCGGGGAGTGGGGGGGGGTGAGAGAGAGAGAAAGAGGAGAGAGATGAAGATCCCACTTGCTACCTTGTTCCCAGAAAACAAGCAGAAAGTGGACAGAAGCAAAACCACCCCGTCCAGGGTTTGTGGGGAAGACCTGCTTAGGTTTCTACTGCAATTAATTTTCCAGGGAGATTTCTGTCCCTTGATGTGGGCAGACACGCTGCAACAGAGTTGGGAGTTTCAATGTTTTCCATGAAAGGTTAATCAAACGTATGGTGAATTTATGCAAATGCCTTGAGAGTAAAGAGCCAAGCACAAAAAAAATTCAGATTCTCCTCTAAGTGACATTTTCCTTTCCTCATATTTATTTGCCTATTTAATTTATATAGCTGCTCCATAGCAGAAGTACATAGGAAGCCAGTGCGGTATAGTGGTGTCAGACTAGGACCTGGGAGATCAGGGTTCAAATCCCCACTCAAGTCATGAAGCTCACTGGTTGACCTTGGGCCAATCACTGCCTCTTAGCTTAACCTCAAAGGGTCATTGTAGGATTAACTGAGGAGGGTATGTGTGTGTGTGAACCATGCACTCTTTGGAGAAAAAGGTGGGATATAAATGCAATGAAGAAGCTCCCCTGCTTACCTGCTTAAAAATGCTGAAGAGGCTAGCCAGATGGAGATGTCAGTCGCCAGCCTGGCAACCAGAGGCGGTCACAGTTGGACCTGCACCAGTTGCAAAATGAGCCTGGCTAATTTCAAACACTGGCCATGTGTTAAAGTATCTTGCAGAAAAACATTCCCCCCTCCCCGCCCCATAGCATAAACATTTGAACATGTCCTGAGAAGTCACTAGAAAATTAAGTCTCTCCCAGAAAGTGGGCCTTCACTGTACCTATGTGCTCCTCTCCCCTAGCTAACACTCCCCCTGCTAACATTTATTCAAGTCTGTGGGGGCACTTTTCATCTATCTTTTCCCTATCCACTCCCAACCCCATAGACTGAAAACACGAATTCCAGATGGAGAAAACATCACGTTGTTTATCTGCCGACTCTCCCCACCCCGCTTTCTTTTCACTCAAAATACATACAGCCCTGGGGTGGAGAATAGATGCCCATGCTGTACGAAGCGCTGTCTCGCTTTCAAGGTCCTGGTAGCTAGCAAAATATGATTTAAAATGCAGCTGCCCATCTGCTCTCAATCCTTCCCAAAGCCTGCTTTCTATTAGCCGTGAATGCTCTAGGCCTTTAACTCTTTGAAAGCTGGCTCGCCGTGGTGCACGGCCTTGCTTTACTAACAATGTTAGGAGCCCAAAGTCTCGGTGTGGTTCTCTAGGCCCTATGGAGGGCAGCACAGCTATTAAAACTGGAGGGGGAAGAAAATTGGGAATCTCGCAGCTTAGCAATACTGAACTTTGATGGCGATGGGCCTGAGCAGTTTATTCCAGAGGATATTGCAAAGGGTTAACCACCTAAGGGTTAGACTAGGAGACAGAGCTGCAAAATCCCACTCGCCCCCCCCTTTTTTATTACTAGGCTGGTTTCTCTTAACACTGTCACGGATTTTTAACACCCGATGCCATTGTGGTTTACAGGAGCCAGCCATCAGGGCTGCAGATGGGTCAAGTCAACCCACTCTGCTGTGTTTGAACAAGCAAGTTGCCAAAGCCACTCTGACTTGCCAAAATAATACAAAAAATGCATGTAGTACGTCTCCCGGCTTCTGCCACTCAGCTGTAAGCAAAGTTCCGCAAACTAGGGTACTGGGCAGCATGGAAACTTAGGGGACAATATGGATAAAATTGAAGGTCCTTGGCAGTTCAACCATACCTGGGCTAACTAGAATATTTGCAAAGGGGTGAATGCTCCTGATATTTTGTCACACACAAAAGTCAGACAGAACCAACTGCAACAGATGCTGAATGCAAGCACAAATCTGGAAGAAGACAAGGGCAGCATACGGAATGCGTAAAAGCACTATTTGCAAGTACATTGTGACGTGACATTCAAGGCGACACATGACAAGAGTCTAGTGAGCACTAAACCACAATCCACAGGGCTTGTTGCATTTCTAGATGAATGCCAATGTAGAATTAACACCCCCAAACGTGCACCCTTGTGTATAGGAAATCCTGAGCAGTTGCTGCTTGAAGATACTTGAAACACGATTGCAGCCCTGCTCTAACGGACAAGAGATTACCACTGGGTGCTCCCTCACTTACGAAGCCGCCACTGGGGAAAGCAACGCACCACATGACACGAAGGATGCAGCTTAGGAATCCTATTCAAAGGAATCTGCGCCACCTCGTTGCCTTAAAGGAACCAACACACAAAGTTGTGAATCTGAGCCCCAACTAAACAAAACGCACACGCCACACACCAAAACCATAATCAGGACTGTTTTAATCTATAAAAATTTTTAAAAAGCAATGCGAATATACTCCATCTGTGGTTTTTTTTAAAAAAAACAACACAAACATCTGGCTGTAAATACGCATTTCAGTACATCTCAAATACTATAAACTCATGGGGTGGGGTGGGAAAGAGACGTTCTGAAATTTCCCTCACCAGGGCTGCAAGCCACTCAAAGAGGGAGGGGCGCAGTGTGGAAACCCAAGGCAGCATTTCATGGTAACTATAAGAATTTTGAGTTCCACACAAAGGCATCAGACTAAGCAGCCGGCAGTTCGCAGAAGTGGCTCAGAAACGAAACAGACCAGCTCTTTGCCCCAGGCCGCAACCAGTTCCAGCTCCAAGGCTGCATCTACAGTTCATAAACGTTAAGACGCTTGGAGACTTCAGGTTTGTGTGCCTCTCTCTCTCTCGCTAAGCCCCACTGCAGCTCCTGAGATGCTAAGCCTCAGCATGACTGACATCTGCTTCGCGGAAACAGCCTTGACTTCAAAGGAGCCTGCGAGAGAAGCTGCTGCCTCCTTATTTCCTCCTGTGACGTTAATGGTTTTTGTTTCTGGCAAATGGGCTCTCTTGCTGACAGCCTTCATCCTCTTTCATCTTGGGTGCTTAAGACAGGCAGACGCCCCAGGAGTGACACAAGCAGCCCCAGTATGTGTGCAGGTGGAGGGCGGGGGGGGGGGGGGAGAGACGTTAACACCGTTGGCGTGTGTTTCTCACTCCGGGATTCATAAAAAGCAAACGGGAAGTGTAGGAAAGGGGAGATACCTAGGCGAAGGATGGAAGTCCAGCTCCTAAAAATTAACTGAGTCAGCTCCATTCCACCCATTGCTTAGGATACCTTGCAGTTTAAAAATCACCCATTGGAAAAATAGACAGGGCATCTTTATAAGACTGATGCTGCTGGGGCCAGCAGGGGTAGGGGGAGGAGTAGGGATAACTATAATCGTCCACCCACTGATATGCCTCATGAAATGTTTCCGGCAAGAAGTTACGGTCCATTAGTTAGGAACATTCTGTGCAAGAAAGGAGGTGAGAGCAAGAACTCTTAAATCCCCTCGGCCAAGATGCTTCCAACCAAAACTCCATCCTTGAGGGCATGTTCCACGTCCTTCTCTTCTATCTTCAGGAAGACCTGGGAAGAAAAGGATTTGTCAGGCTGGAAACTGGTAGTCAGCATCCATCGTTGCAAAAAAGCACGGTCTCTACAGGAGGCCACTCCTTGTAGGACGCTGGAAATCACTAGGCCTCCGTAATGGGAAGATGGGGAGAGAGAATACAGGCACATCTGCTATACACAATGCCATCCAAACAGCTCCGCTTCCACCCAGTGCCCAAAGCCCGCATTGCAACGGCAGCTAAATCGTATGGTGACTCTTGCAGAATTTCACAACCTGTCATGGGATTCCCCCACTGCCAATTCCCAAGGTTGTAGAATCATAGGATTTGGGACACCTGAGGGTCCATCTGGTCCAAACCCCTGCAAGGCAAGAATCTCAACACAGAGTCTGCCATCCAATCTGAAAGCATACCAGGCCCTGCATAGCTTTGCAAATGTGCTAGCAGTTTTATTGCTGCGCCACTAGATGGAAGGTGGAACATTTGTGGGCGGAGGGAGGAGGCCCAAAACCATCAGGTACAATGGGTGTCTTGCATCTTTATACTTCCTTCATCCAGCACTTGCTTTCTTCCTCAAGCTGCAGAACAAACCAATTCTGGCCATCAAACAAAATTCAACCATCACGGCTTCTTCTCTTGACAGCTCCTCGCTCCACAGAAGGATTCCCATTGTTTGCATAGATAAAATGCCATCCTGCGGCAGGCATTCTCCACCTTTTCAAAACTTACTTAGCTCAGGGCTAAGGTTTTGGGGGGACAGGATAGCAGGGGGACCTCCATTATCTCTGTGCAGCAGAGCCAATGGCGCCATGGCGGCCCAAAAGTGCCCTGTGATGCTCCTGAGACTTTTCACAGCTGCACTGGTGGTGGCAGATCTTACACAGGCAGATCAACTGATGTCAGGGACTGGTTGGACGCAGAGGAGTGGTGGGAGGAACCCATCTGGGGAACCCCCAAGGGAAGAGAAGGTTTCAGAAGGTGAAGAGGTAACAGGTCTTAGTGAGCTGGGAGGGTTGGTGGCAGAGAGCAGTCCAGAATCAAAGGCAGAAGCTGAAGCAGGAGAGGAGGGAGGCCAAGAGGCAGAGGTGGGTCAGGCTTGTGAAGAGGCATGGGTGTCTCCAGTTCCTGCTGCAACAAGCACCCCTCCCCCATTGGCCTTCCAGAACCAGGAGAGGCATGAAGTGGGGAGTCTCTGATTGCGTGGAAAAAAACTCTGGAGAGGAGGAGACACTGCTGGCTGTGGGGAGGCAGGGACCTTTAGTCTTGGCATCTGCTTCATGGGGGAAGTTGTTGTGATCATTAGGCCTGACACTCCTGTGCAGATTCTGTCTTGCTAATAAAGTTATCTCCAGCTTACTCGGTGCAAATTTCTGCTGGCTTGCTCCTGTCAACTGACCTGGCAAGGAACCTCTGGGTTTTACACTTCTGCTCCCTTTTGGGCACACCTATGTGCAAGAATGCTGACATTTAATTCTCCATTATTTCTACACTTCTCCCTCCTATAAAAGGGTGCAGCCTCTTTCATCAGACTGACAGGAGGGGCTGTGCACTGTGGCTCTCCCACAGAGCTAAAACAAAGGAGAACAAGAAAGACGCAGCAGTTCTCCCACCAACACAGCTAAGGCAGGCTGAGGAGGGAGACAGATGCATTTAAGGAAGCCAGCAGGGAATTTTCAGGCACCAAAGCAGCCTGGCACCCAAAGTTTTCCAGAGGAGGCTGGGACCATGAACCACTGGGGCAAATCATCACTGCTCAGTGTTATTTCTTCCACTATACTGGAGTGGTGGAATCAACATGTTTCCAGTGACTGTGCTGAGGCCCAGTGAAATAAGGAAACGCTGCACACTGAGTCCTTAGGGGGAGAGTATATTCTTAATCTAAATCTGTGTTTCCCAAACTTGGGTCTCCAGCTGTTTTTGGACTACAGTTCCTATCATCCCCGACCACTGGTCCTGCTAGATAGGGATGATGGGAATTGTAGTCCCAAAACAAGCTGGGGACCCAGGTTTGGGAAACACTGATCTAAATAAATATAAAACCAGTTTAAAAGGCAGGGGGCTAATTCCAACGCCATGCATTTCCACGCCAAAGCACACACCCCTTTCTCAAAGGTTTATTGTAATTTGCTGAGGGACACAAACATTTTCGGATCTCAGCACACAATTTAGTTCTGATGTTTACTAGCAAACTGCCCCATCAAATATATTCAGCAGCCCCATATAGAGTGGGACTATTGGGTTCATCTACCACAGCACAGTCCTTTCTGAGGGGTGGCGGCTCTCTCCTTGCATTGGGATTCTTTTAGTTAGAGATGCTGAGAGTGAACATGGGTCCTTCAGCATGCAGAGCACGTGTCCCACCACCAGATCATGGCCCTTTCTGAGAGGTGAAGGGGACCCTGGATACTGCCCTCCCCACCCCTGCTGGAGTCCAGGCCATAGCAAAAGTAGGTCTGCAGTAGTACCTTAGTCAGGCGCGCTTCTTTAGTCTTCTTCAAGCCCACAATGCCTCTGGATTCCAGGAGAGCCGAAAGCGACAGGCATTCTGATTGGCCAACAGCTCCTACTTTCTGCTTGCGGCAAACCTTGCTGTAGGCCTCATGCAGCTAGGAGGAAATGCCATTGAAAAAACACAGCGTTTTTGAGTAGAGGAAACAGAAAAGTGTGCATAATGCAACTTGCTCTCTATGGCTTCCTCCAAGTGTCCCAGGCTAGCTAGTTCCCTCTTTATGGCTTCTAACTGAATAATAGGTCTCCTGCCCATGTCCCGCATAGCCCAGCCAAAGCTGCTGGCAAAGCAACACACAAGTGCTGCTCCACACCTCTGGCATATGAGCACTGCTTCTAGTCCAACCCCCCTGAAATGCAGGAATATGCAGCTGTCCCGTACAGGTATCAAACCTGCAACCATGGTGTTATCAGCACCATGCTTTAACCAAGTGAGCTATCCAGACTGACTTGATGGTGGAGAGACACAAAACCCTTCCACTCCACAGTAGTTTAGGATGGGTAGAATAATGCTCAAAGACAAGACAGAGGTTTTTAGGGTGCAATGCATGTAGCCTATGCTGCACCAAACACTACTAAAAGACATTCCAAGCAGTCATCTTCCACTCCGTTCCTACATAAAACTTACTTCTGTAAGCAAACAGTTCTCATTAACTCCCATGGCCTTTAAAAAACAAACAAACAAAAAACAAGGACGGGAGATGTAAGAGGAGAGGAAGAGAGAGGCAGATGGAGCCAATTCCCTTGAAGGTTTTTTTGGGGACTCTAGTTCTTTGTGTACTGCACGTCCCGCATAAACAGCCAAACATTTTTAAGTGGGTCCATGGTAGGACTCAGAGAAACTCCTTGTGCACTTCTTCCTTTGTGCTCCTGAGGACTCTGGTTTTAAGAGACGAACCCTTGTGCTGCAAAGCAAAGCCCCCTGCCAAGTAAGAGTGGCATAATACACTAGCAGTGGCAATTTGAAGAGGTTGGGGGGCAGAGAGAATCTGCACACTCACCTTTCCCAGCGTCACCTCTTTGGTTTTCTGTTGCCTGGTTAAGAGCAGCAAAGAACAGACCAAGATTTTCTGCTGCAAGGGAAAGGTATTGGCCTCGTCACGGCCTGCACCTGAGGCCAAACGGTCACCGTACACATCAGAGATCACCCGGGATACGTGGGCCAGTCCCACCCGCTGGGGTACTGCTGAGTCTGTGGCTGGCTTAGAAGAGGATTTGCCTGAGGACGGGAGAAGTCAGAAAGAAGACAGTGAGCAGCTGAATGGAGAGTAAGGCAGTGCAGGTAGAGCTCAATAGGAAGGTCCTGGCATGGGTTGTATCTTCAAAAGGCAAAGCTTCATTCCTATATGATTGTTGCACAGTGGTACCTCGGGTTACATACGCTTCAGGTTACAGACTCCACTAACCCAGAAATATTACCTTGGGTTAAGAACTTTGCTTCAGGATGAGAACGGAAATCGTGCTCCGGCAGCACAGCAGCAGCAGGAGGCCCCATTAGCTAAAGTGGCGCATCAGGTTAAGAACAGTTTCAGGTTAAGATCGGACCTCCGGAATGAATTAAGTACTTAGCCCGAGGTACCACTGTAATGTATACTCTTCTTGTGTTTATATGCTGCCTTTGGGCCAAAGAGCTCAAAGTGGCATAGCTAGAGTTCCCAGGGAGTCTCATATTCAGGCAGTGACCAGACCCAGACCAACTTGCCTAACACAGACTTAAAACGGTGTATCTGCTCTCCATCCTGCCCATTCTGAAGCAGAAGTAACAGATGTCCGCACCATTTATACATTACAGCAAATGAGAAAAAGATGAGGCAAGGTGGACCCAAAGCTATTGCAACACTACATATTCAGAGTACAATGTCCCTAAGCTGCACAGATTTTCAGTTCATTTTGGGAGATGCTTTGAAAACCGAAATCGCTTGTTTTCATGCTCCCTGGACGTAGTAGTAGCTTCACACCTGCATTTGCACTGCTCAAGTTACACTTAAAGCCAGTGCAGGAAAGACAAGGAGCAGGTGTTCGCCTCCCTCTGCAGGGCTGACTGCTGGAAGGGAGAACATTTTTCCCGTACCAGCCAGCTGCACGTTCCTCTCTGTCTCCCTTCACCGCTGCCCCCCACATCCCTCAGCAAGGCCTGAACAAGTCCCTGGGAAGGAACGCTACCAACTAGGGTCAGGAAAGCATTTAATGAAACATGACAGCACTGCACAGCAGCCTAGGACCTGCTCAGGGGGAAGAGCGGGGAGGAAAGCTACTTACAGGCAGGCAGCAGTTTAAGCACAGTTTGACTCTTCACATCTGACTCCACAATTTCAATGGCCCTCCTAAGGACAAGAGTAACATTTCAGACAAAGGCGTTAGTTCCCTGCTAATGCTTTTTATCAATCCCCCAACACAGGGCTACTCCAGATTTTCTCATTAAGTTGTCCACTGAAAGACCAGTTCCATTGGGCTATCCATCCTTCAATTCTCATCTAGTCCCCTGGAATCGATGGATGGAAGACAGGGTAGCTCACAACATAGGAACGGACTGCTAATAGACACAGGTTTGTTTGGACAAATATATTGATATTTGGAATGAGGTTATACAGAATATAGTTGGTACAATATTGAATACATATGATATTGCACTTTTCCCCACTTTATTTTGTACAACTGGGGGAAAAAAACACTTTTAAATATTATTAATAATAGTGAGAGCAATGATAGCAAGTCATCATCATCTCCCATCTGGCAACAGATATTACAGCAGGCTGCAACAGTGGGTGACATGGAAAGCAGGGTCCTTTCCAGGAGCAGCTTAACCTGTAGTCCTCCAGAGGTTGCTGAACACTATACCACCCATCATCCCTGGCCACTGGCCATGCTGGCAAGGGTTTCTGGGAGTTGGAGTTCCATGACAGGTGCAGCATATGCCAAACCAACCTCCCCTGGCCCATTCCAGCAGCTCCGTTAGGCTCCTCCCATTTCCATTTTGGCGGCTCATTTGTAAGCAACTAGCATTTTAAGGACTGGCGCTTGAGTTTCCTTATTTTGTCCCGCTTCCCCATCCCTTTACAGCTATGGAGGTAGGGAGCAAATGGTTCGATTAAAGCTTATCTTCATAAGCAGTCGCCCAAAAAGATTGAGAGAAGAAGGGAGGAGACTGTGCCTGGATGTAACCGGTTATGGGTCCTGACCCATCAACGAAAATCAGCAGTCCAGAAGGACTGTGTTTCTAGGCTTTTGTCTGTTGTCATAATAAGGTACCTAACCAGCCCGTAATTTTATCATACCATGTGGCTGTTCTGTCTTTCTCACCCCAATCCTGCTCTCAAAGCAGTGTTGAAAAGTCACAAGAGGGAAAACTATGCAAGCAACCCCCCCCACCCCACCCATAGGAGACCTGGAGTGGCACATGCATGGCCCATTAATGGGAGCTCATTACAATCTTGCCTCTTAATGAGACTAACGCTCTATTTGTCGTAGTGGAAGCGATGCTGGAGGCAGTTCTCAACCCGAAGCCCCAGTGCCAACCACTGTCTAATTTGGGCACCCCACGGGGGGTGCAGAGCACGGCTAAATCTCTGTTTAAGTTGACAAATACTCCAATCAGACTAAGCTAAAACAAAACTAAGCCAAAACTAGAGATGTTTGGACATATACCCTAACTAGGGTTGCCATATTCCCAACATTTTTTTTAAGGTCAAACTTGCTGAACTTTTTTGGGACATCTTTTTGTTGATTTTTTTTTTTAAGTGTACCCGCTTTGCCATACGTCAAAGGGAAGGGGGGCAAATTAAACTCTTCTAGTTTTCATTTATTTTAGGGAAAGAGAATATACTTAATGCTCCCATTAAATTCAATGGGCTCTTAACATTGGCTAAATGCTCCCCTGGAATCTGTTGTTTGATAGGTTTTGTATCAACTTTAATGAATTCATGTATTTCTCCTACTGGTTTTCAGTATTTTACGAGATTATTCAGGGGCAAATTTTATTTTGATTTTTTAAAAAGAAATGTAATTTATTTTAGGAAGTTTGTACATACAAACTACTTTGTGTTGATAGTTATGACCTATGGCCAAGTCAAAATGAAATTAAAATCTGCCGGAGACAAAGCTTTTATGAGAACCCCATCAATAGAAACAACATACCAACAGACCAAATTATAAATGTGTGGAAGGAGAATCTGCATCTTACAAGAATGCAAAGGTGGGGCTCTAACAGGCCTAGCTGGAGGGTGTTGGGAGAAGAGCATAATGAACAACAACAGCTTATACTTTGCCCATCTGACTGGGTTGCCCCAGCCACTCTGGGTGGCTTCCAACAGAATATAAAAAACGTAATGAAACATCAGACATTAAAAACTTCCCGATACAGGGCTACCTTCAGATGTCTTCAGAAAGTTGTATAATTGTTTATCTCCTTGACATCTGATAGGAGGACATTCCACAGGGAGGGTGCCACTACCGAAAAGACCCTCAGCCTGGTTCCCTGTAACTTTACTTCTTGCAGGGCGGGAACCGCTGGACCTCAGTGACTGGGCAGAACGATGGGGGTGGAGACGCTCCCTCAGGTATACAGGACCGAGGCCATTTAGGGCTTTAAAGGTCAGCACCAGCACTTTGAATTGTGCTTGGAAATGTAGTGGGAGTCATGTACTTCTTTTAGGACTGGTGTTATATGGTCCTGGCAGCCGCTCCCAATCGCTGGTCTGCCAGCCGCATTCTGGATTAGTTGGTAGTTGTCAACAAATGGAAAAAAAGGGGAGCACCATAAAGTGAAACACACACACAGGCAGCCACAAAGCCTCAACCGTGCTCAGAATATAGAAATATTCTATCTTCTGAGCACGGTTCAGGCAAGCAGTGGCTTCCCCTTATGTTCCTTGGTTGGTATTTCTTTCTCTCTCTCTCTCTCTCTCTCTCTCTCTCACACACACACACACACACACACACACACACACACACGTTTGCTCTGCTGTAGATGCTAAGGAAACTGTTGCTTGCAAAATTGACAGGTCCATTTTGATATGACAGAGACAGCAAGAGCAAGTGGTATGTAATGGCTGCCTATTGCTGTCCTGGCCACGATGGTATGTGGTCCCTGACCCTTTTCTTCCAAGAGAATTTGGCACTTGGGGAGGAGGGCTACAATCCAAGAATCGGGAGTCCACTCCCAATTCTTCTATCTCTTAACCATTGCTTGTAAGTTTCAAGTTGCAAACTTGATGTTTCCTGCACTGGACATCATATACGTTGGGCCCAAGAAAGACGGCTGCTGTTTCCTCCCAAACGGGCTGATGAGCCAACCTCTGAGGTCTGGCAAGGAGGTTCCTACCACCGTCTCGTTTCCTTTCCAAACCTATGAGCAGCTAAACCCTATTTCACGCGCGCGAGAAAGATCTGTGCCAACATCCCTGAAAAGTAACAGCCGTGCCCTTCCTTCTGCCAAGGGGTCACATCTATCATCAGCCTGTGCTGAAGTACATGTTTTTACCCCCAAAAAATTGCTGAGTCAAACAGAGGAAGAGGCAGCCCCCAAGCAAATGCCTGGGCAAGGTCAAGGAAGGCAGGAAGCAACTCTCCGTAAAGCCAACTTGCAAGGTAAAAGGAAGTACTTCTAAGCCCCATAAAGATGTCTGCTTGAGAACTGTTAATGAGAGCCTTTTGCAATCCAAATGTAATTAACCAATCTATAATCGCAGCAGGGAGGACCAATTCCTCTCACCCTTCATAGGTAATGGGCTGTGAACGTTTCCAGACATTAACACAGTCAGGAACAGGAAGCACCCTCCCCTCTCACCACAAAGGCATGAGGGCTCTCCCCCGCTCTCTCTCTCCCTCCACCTCCCACGCAGGGGGACCAAACAGCATAATGAAGCTTTAAATCACATCCCACATGCGCTGTAATTAGCTCGGGTTTTTAAGAGTGCTATATATTCTTCACCTGCAGATGTCCAGAGCTTTGCGCGCATCCCCAGAGACAGCAGAGACTTTCCGAGCACAGAACTGGATGGCGGCGTGGTCCAGCACCTGCTCCCCTGACACCTAAGGGACAGGGAGAAGAAAACAGGAGCTGCAAAAGATATATTGGAAGCTCTGCTGCGCGACATTTTCCTGGATTCGGTTAAAAAAAAAAAAGGGTTTGGGGGGCATGTGTAAAGGCAGCGCCTTTGTAACAGCCCAAGAACTCTTGTTGTGGCATAGAGACGTGGAGAGCAAAGGGCTTAGCAAGCAACAAGGCAGGCTAGGACTGATTTATCAGTAAATACAATGTCAGCATGCTGCGGCCAAGGGGGCTGCATGGAGCTCCTGGATGTGTATGTACTGCACCAAAACGGAGGGAATTTAATTGACTGGTGATCTGCTACCAGGCCACGTTCAAGGTCATCATCCATCAGTTGGTTTCAGATGTCTTGTAAATACATTGTCCCTTTTTGCCCAAGCTTTCCCTGATCCACGGGTTTGGACCCTCTTATTACTGAATTGCCATTTTTATCTTTAAAAAAAAAAAAAACACACCACTGTTTCACTCTTTTATATGCTGTAACTCTGTTTATGGCATAGCAGCATCTCATTTTCCCCAGATTACTAGCATTCTGTGCCTTCCTTCACTTTACAAAGTAGCCACTGCTCCTTGATCTCGCAAGGGGGAGAAAGTGGGCTGGTTCTCAAACACAGGGAACCTGGAAAGCGCCCCTAATGCCAAGGCACAGGAGAGGTATATATTTTGCATATTAAGATAATAACAAATTTAGCAGGGTTCCAGAGCAGAAGTGATTGTGCCTTCTGCAGGTCATTTAGGTGTATTTTGTATTCTCATTTTGTATTTTTCTGTTGCAAACCACCCTGGGATCTTTGGATGAAAGGCAGAATACAAATTTTACAACAATAACAACAGCAGCAACAACAACAGGACAGGAATTTTGGAACTCGGCTTCTGAGATCTTACCTGCTTAAGGCGTTCCTGGAGGATGGAGGCAAGCTGGTCTTTGTTGTACGGGGGAAAGTTTAGCAGCTGTGGCCTGCACTTGGGACGGGCTTGCAGGCGGGGCAGGATGCGATCTGTGAGGTCCAGAGCATTGGCTATCCCTACCAATGAGAAGAGATGCTTAGAGGCCTTGGAGACACCCAATTTCTATCCTTCTATACCTTTCTGTCCTTCTTACCCCATAGCTTCCCACTCATATAGCTTGCCTCAGAAATGAAGGGACCGCACTCTTAAAATAGGAGACCACACAACAAAAACAAGAATTCACATACAGCTTGAAGTGTTCACCTAGAATGCTGACCTTGCACCTGCTGTCTGAAATACAGCTCCACATACCTTCCCTCTGCACTTGAGGGACCACACAGACTCACAAAATAAGTTAACGAAAAGACCTTACATTCCATCAAAGCCTAACCAATGAATATGACAGAGAAGTGTGGACCTCATCTAGAAGCTTAAGAAACATCAACTTTCTTGTGGCATGCTGCGATAAACTTGCATGTTCCATTAAGCCACCTGGAGCTCCTGGGTTTCAGGCAATTGCTCAGCCTTTGGTCTGTATCCCATAGGCTGGTCAGTGGAAGGCTGGCGGGTGGGTGGTCCTGCAGTTTGTACAGGGAACTCGCCCAAGTGGCTTTCCTGTCTCCCTTCAGATGTTCTAATTCTGTCAAAGGATGCACTGAACCGATTTACGAATAACTCATTCCTCCACCAAAGGGAGTGGGGTGGGCAGTGGCGTACAATCCTACTGGAACAAGTGCCTGATCTGGTTTGGGGAGGCCTTAAAGCCAAATGTCCTTGGCAGGTCCACACACTCCTCACTGCCTCCTGTTGTTCCTCCTCCCTCTGCCTTCACTGGCCTTGTTGCCTTCGCCATGCCATATTCATGTAGCAAAATTGGGCCCAGTCTGCATAATATCCTTGCCTCCAACTAGTGGGCTCAGACAGGTGACTAGGAAGGTGGTGGCTTGCTCCTGCTTTCCAGACACTTGTGTCTTCTGGGCCACAGAGAGAGGACAGGCGTACAAGCAGTGAATGGGAGGGACAGCGGCAGGAGCGAGGGCCCTGTGGCTGGCAGTGTGTGGGTGCTTGAAGATTTCCAACTGTGCCACCCACCCCACAATGCCAGTCCTGAAGTCATGCTCTCCTCTCTCCTGAAACATAGGATTGGGCGTCATTAACTCTCGACACTCACCGATGAGAATGAGCCGGGAGTTGGGGAGGGAAGGCCACTCAAACATCGTGTACAGCACATCCTGCCCTTTGCTGTCCAGCTGATCCATCTCATCTAACACAACCAAACTGTGAAGATGAAAGACAAGAGCACGTGAACACCACCACAGCAATGTGCTACGGTAAGAACATCCTTTCTGCCACTGTCGCAGCATCCAAACACCCATCAATTGTAGGTAGCCCCACGGCATCCTTGGCACAGGACTGAAACTGCACCTCTCCTGCCAGATACCCTATGCTATTTAGGCAGGGTAGAATAAAATATTTCAAATTATAATCACTAGCTTCTTTAAAAAAAAGAAATAGTAGTAAATGTTTCTAGCCCTGCAGAAGACTGAATTGATCTCTCAAATTCTTAGGTCCAGAATCAAATTTACCATTATCCAAAAGACTAACTGTCCACACCCCGCCCCCAGTCTGTTATCAAAATATGGGCATTTAGATTGACACTGCTAAACTCTCTCTGACAGCAATGTTTACGGCTCAGCCACATATACTGCACCAAACACACAGCAAAGAGAAAGTGCCCAGTATAATAGGCTTTAGATATTATAGCTGTTGAAGACCTTTCAGACTAAACCCATATTTCTCTAAACCTCATTAAGAGACTTTTATGAAAGGTTTATAGCACAAAATGTGCATTGCCACTCAAAACACAACAGTGATGTGAGGATGCCTGTCTTCAGCTCTCTATATTGTACAAACAGGCCAAACCTTACGCCAAAGAATAAACGGACATAAATCTGACATCAAGAATCACAAGACAGAGAAACCAGTAGGAGAACACTTCAACCTCCCAGGACATTCTATACAAGATCTCAAAGTAGCTGTTTTACTACAAAGGAATTTCAGAAATAGACTGGAAAGAGAAGCTGCTGAATTGCAACTTATTACCAAACTTAAAACCATGGAGAGACCTGGTTTGGTCTGAACAAAGACATTGGATTCTTATCTCACTATACATGACAAAGCCATTTTTCACCTTCTCACCCCTTGCTTTTTCCTGTAAGACCTATTGCAGTCGTTAAGAGTCGTCAACAGGCTCATCACAGCTATATGCCAATCACCCATTCCCACCACCCTTCTGAGTAATACCCCTCCCCACCTTCTCACTATATAGAAGGATCTGGCAACTTCTGTTTCAGTGTATCTGAAGAAGTGTGCATGCACACGAAAGCTCATACCAAGAACTAACTTAGTTGGTCTTTAAGGTGTTGTTTTTTTTTGTCCAATAGAGGTTATGGCTATCCTATGACAGACCTGCTCAAAACTGGCTAGTTTTAAGAATGCCCCCCTCCTACCACAAAGGGCTTGTACTTACACCATGGGTGCACTTTCTGATGTCAACCGTTTCACCAGCCTTCTGATCACGTCACCCCTGGCTGCTTTGTCTGCTCCAGCCTGGCCCAATTGTACAGCCATTGCTGGGAACACAGCCTGGGAGCTTCTCAGAGCCATGCAGTTCAGGACTATGGTCTGACACCCAGCGAGCTCCATCTGCCAGGGAGACAAAGGAGTGTTTTAGAGTAGATCAAACTTCGCAATAGAGTACAAGTAGTGCAATAAAGAGACAGCAATTCCACAGACCATCACTGAGCAGAAGTACCTGCAAGGAAACTGTGGAGGACAGGAAATTACAGGAGGCCACTTTCTTGTGCCTGGGGGACCAATAATCCAGCGTGAGGGGTGGTCAAATATACTCTCTTAGGCAAAACTGCCAAGCTGCCCCCATCAGGCACAAATTATAAGTCCTTGAAATCCATAGAATAGCCATGTGTTCACATATATCTTGTAGGGGCAACATATTTTCAATTCAGGCAGCACACCAAAGCATGGTCTGTGTCAACCATAGCTTAAAACTCATATCAGTTTGAGCATCCAAATGTTCAGCTAAGCTATGCTTTAGAGTTGTTTGTCTGCTTTCATTTCCCCACTTCTTCAGCACTTCCTCAGTTCACTCCTGCTTTTGCAAACAAAGCAGTGGTTGTCCCTATGGTTTGTCAATTCAGATACCACACCAAACTTTAGTTAGCACAAAACCAAGGTTCCTATACCCATCTTAAATCAGAGATATGATTTGCTGGCCAAATACAAAACACAGTAAAGCTTCCTTAACCTTGTTTTGGAATATTAAAAGTGTAAGATATACAGGTAAAAAGTATTTTATGGGCATTGGAGTGATTGCAGGAAAAGGTTCTCACTGGGCTCTGAATTCACATAGTTCTCCCACACCTAATGGCATATGGGAGAATTCTGAAAGAAGAGTAGACCCAAAGCTGTATCATATAATGTTAAATGCCATTTGTCAGAGCTGGGCAATGGTTCTTCCGGCATTACCGTCTTTTTCCGCTCTATAGGACGCATTTCCCCCCTTCCAAAAATTAAGGGGAAATATATGTGCGTCCTATAGAGTGAATACAGGCTGCGTGGCTAAGCCCAAAGCCAAAACAGGGAGACGGAGCGCTGCGGAGCGCTCCGTCTCGCTCTTCTAGCTTGGGGTTAGCTGCGCAAAGCCTCCACAGGGCAGCGGGGTGCCTGCACCCTGCTGCCCTGCGGAGGCTCCAAAGGCTGTCCCCGAAGCCTGAAAGGCGCTGCAAAGGCTTCAGGGATCTTTGAGGCTGGCAGTAGGGGAAAGCAGCGCTTCCCCCCCCGCCAGCCCAAAAGAGCAGGTTGAAAAGAACCTGAAGCCTCCGGAGCCCAGAGGGAACTCCTGCCGCACTCCAGAGGCTTCGGGTTGCCTTCACTGAAGCCTGAAGAGCAAGAGGGGTCAGTGCACACCGACTCCTCTCGCTCTCCAGGCTTCCAAGGTAGCCGCCTGAAGCCTCCAGAGTGCAGTGAGAACTCCCGCTGTGCTCCGGAGGCTTTGGGTGAATGCACCTTGAACGCACCTAGTTTTAGAGGGGGAGAACAAGAAAAAAAAAATTCCCCCTGTTCTCCCCCTCCTATGGTCCGGTAGCAGCAGCAAAAGTCTGAAAGAGTACCAGCGTCCAAATTCAAATCCAGCAGTTTTACCTTTAAGTCCATCAGGGCCCTGTTGAGGCAGGCAGTTTTCCCAGTGCCTGGAGCTCCAGAGATATAAAGACTTCCTGGGATCTCCCTAGAGACATGCTCTCTCAGGAATCTATGAAGAACACCTGTCTCTTTCTCCCTTGCATGCAGCTGGTCCGGAACAGCCGTGTGTAGGAGACTCTTTGCCTGCTGGTAACAAGTGCCTGTATAAACAAAATGAAGACAGGTTTAGAACAAATAAAACGCCTCAATATACCTAACAAAAACTATACAAACAGTAATTGTGCAACTCCCTTCGAACAGAGACAACAGTAGACACAAAAAACCACAAAAAACCAAAACCCACTGGAGTTAGGAAGAGATCTATTACAATAAATGAAAGATTACTTTTGCTGTCTCTTTTTAAAAGTTCCTTTTATTGAGCTGTTCTATCGTTGAAGCTAGCAAAGGCTGAAAGCAGATTGCTAGACTAAATAGACCCTTGCCTATTCAAACGCGTCTTGTACTGCTCTGTTTAATACTACTGATGTATTGCCTTGCTTTTTTGAACACTGCCTGTAGTTGTTAAGATTGCCGACATAAGAATCAAATAAGAATGTTCAAGAAGGGACACCATTCTAACATTAACGTTGCCAATAAAACTTGCTTGCAATATTTTGACCAGCAATAAATGACTAAACATGAAAGGCAGTATGTCAAGCCCCTCTGTGATCACAGCTAAACCACAAATTTCAATGGTTTTTATTCCTTGGCTTCCCTCAAAGCATCCTAGGAACTGTAATTTTATGAGGTTGCTGAGAATGGTGAGAAATATTCCAACCCCTTCCATGGAACCACAGCGGGTCTTGCCTGCGGGTAATGTAACAATTGAAAAAGTCTGAAAACCATTTTGAATTTATGACACAGCCGTGCCTTAAGTTTTCTCATTTTGTGGGAATAACAGTGAACTAGCCTTGGATTCTGAGGACTTAAGAGACTGAATTCTTTATAAACCCATTTTTAGAAATCCAAGCAACCGCAGAAGATGTAGTACCCAGTTTTTCCACCATACACAATGCTATTACATACCTTCTTGCTTAAAGAGACGAGTACACACCAGTTCTTTCCTTGGGTGGCGATGCTGCGGTGAAGCGTTAGGGGTTTCTTGACCACCACGAAAGGGAGAGGGAACCAAATTGCTGCCCTTAGTTGGAGATTTGGGGGTTGAACGCTCGCTGAAGAGTAAAGCCCGGCCCTTGGGAGAAGTGGGTGGAAAGCTATTCTCTTTTTTACCCTGCTTACTTGGGGAGCAAGGCAGCAACTGGGTGACATTGCAGAGATTGTCATCTCCTGTGGGAAACAAAGACACACCATGCCAAGTTTAGAAGAAAGCAGCAGCAGAAGAAAATGAATGTGAAATACAGACAAGAACCCAGATGTAAAAGACAAGTTTGTCTGCCCTCTATTTTAACAGAGTTCATGTCTGCCATACAACATGATGTCTTTAAGATGCCTTTTGTTATTTCATTTAAAGTTTCAGAGCTCTTATTATCATAGGCATCATTTAGAAAAAGCACAAGCACAGGGCCTGTCAAATGCCCCCTTATTCAGAAGAACGTTGCTGTGCTCTGCCTGCTCCTTCCCTCTGGACCCTTTGCAATGTACACTTACTGCATCAACCCTACTTGTTCTGACTTGCTACTGCAAAAACTCCAAATGCTGGGTTTAGAATACAAATAACCACTTCAATCTTTGTAGATAAGCCTGTCTGTAGGAATACTATTGAGCAGAGCACTTATTTCACGCACACTCTTCAGCAGTACACAAACAGGCCTACCCATGAATTACTTTTTATCTTTCGAGTTAGCCTTCATGGGAAATAAACCAGATGCTTTGCAAGAAAAAAATAGTCCCAATTCCACTCACTAACTCCAGGTAGGACCCATCCAAAACCCTGCAGCCTCTACCATTCAGTGTTGACAATACTGAGATACATGGTCTGAAGCTGTGTAAGGCAGCTATTCCTGTGTTCTTAACTCTGGTGTTCAATCTGAGAAAATCTTGGCATCACTTAGCAAAGTCATTAATATTAATAATAATAATAATAATAATAATAATAAATTTTTATTTATACCCTGCCCTCTCTGGCCAGGGCCGGGCTCAGGGCAGCTAACACCAAATATAAATTATAGTAAAACATAATAGGAAAACAACAACAGTTAATTAAAATACAGCTGGTTTAGTGCCAAGCAGAATGGCTGAGCAGGCTTTCTATTTAAGAACGTGTTAGGATATTTTTGTTGGAAGAAGAGAAAGGCAACTCACCAAGCCGTTTACGGGGGCTGAGAGGCAAGACCTGCTTCTGGGGTGAAACTGACAGTGGGCTTGTGTCCAGTTTTGAAGCCTCCTCATTCTCTAGAGGTTTGTGACATCTCCTAATCGATTTCCGCTTTGGGAATTTGATGGTGCTCTGGCTTTCAGACTGAGATCTGGTACAAGGCATGATGGACACTGGAGCCCAAAGAGAGCAAATGAAAGACATTTAAGTTAAGTGTGCATGTGTGCGCGTGCACACACTTTTAAATTTCACAAATAGTCTCTAACAGTTACAACTATCCTGTCCCCCAGCGATGCCTTTCCTCCCGCTAGGTGAACAACAAAATAAAGACCTGATTGGAACAGAGTATTTTCCCCTCCTTATTCACCAAAAACAGCTGAAGTCTTATATTTGGGCTTAAGGGGCTAGGCTCCCATACAGGTCTATGAACCCACACCTCTCTTTTTAGCAAGTTATTCACTATCCCCAGACGCCCTTGCCCCTAATGATTAATCATGCTCACCCCAGCACAAGCTCTTTATTTCCCATCCTTTGTTCACAACATGCCCCTCTCACCCATTCCTATACCTTGAAGGTAAGCTCAAGGTTAAACATTGACGACTGTCAAGGTGATAAACCTACCCACCACCTAACATAAAAATTGTTGGCTGAAATAGTTCGAAACCCAAATTCCTGCTGGATCATCACTCTCTGTTCCTGGAGCAGAGGCATACTGCGTTAAAAATACTCACCCCAACCTGCCTCATTTTGCTCATTTTGTGGCATCACTGTTGTTCTCTTTTCTTTTTATAGTGATAATTAAAAACAACCCTGAGACTTATTTTGCTTTATCTGTTTTAAGTACAGTAGCCTATGTTTTTAAATGATTATTAATTATTGAAATACTTTATTGTCATTTGTACAATTTGTATACAGTGAGATTACACGAGCACCCCCCACTCAGCTCTCTTAGTCTTAATCCCCCTCGTTTACTGAGGCACACTCACCAAACCCGAAAGTCAGTTGCCCTGTTATCTAAGAAAAGCCCTTAGTATCCATTCCTTAAAAGGGCCTGGCAGTAAATTCTGATGCCAGAGTTGCCTGTTTTTCTCTACACTCTCCTGCCTTCCTTCCAGAATTACATAGGGGGGGGGGGAGGTTTCCACTTGCTGATTTCAAAGATAAGACTGTTGGAAATACACACACACACACACACAGACATATATATATATATATATACACACAACACACACACACACACACAGTATTAAAACTGGAAGAAAAGAAATGCAATTTCAAATTCCCGCCCCCCAGCCATTGAAGAAAAAAAAAATCTTCAGTAACTTTAGGCCAGTCTCCAAAAGCCACACTGAAGGACGAGGTGGCCCATGAGATATGTGATCAGATCTCCCAACTTTTTATTACGGCGGGGGGGAGGGGGCAGAGGGCTTTGAGTTTGAATGGGAGTGGATTCAGGGGAGATGTTTTAATATCCCCACTCGCACTTTACCGCTCTAAATGACTCTTCCCCAAAGCGAAAAGTGAGCCAGGTGGGTCTCACGCCCCTCAGAAGCACATTGAGCGGATCTTGCTCCTTGGCGAGCGTGTCCTTAGGGCCAAAGCGCCCAAAAAGCCTTTGCAGCGAGACGTCTCACAGACGTCTCGCTGCCCTTTTTCCTGCCCTTTCCATTTTTCCCAAAATTTCTTAATTCATTGATAACAGCAGCAATAACCACTTCGCCTCCCCTCAGCCCCCCGCGCAACCCACGAACCCCCTCTCTGCTCCAAGCGCCTCCTTACAGCCAGAGCCTCTTTCGCGCGCCAACATGCGCACCTACCGTCAACCCGAACCTGCGGAGTCCAAGGAGCGCGAAGCTTCTTCCCGCAACCAACCCGCTTGACTAAATGAAGCGACTCCGCCTGCCCGCGCGTGGCCAACCGGCCCCGACCCGCCCATTGGTTCTCCGGAGCGCGCGCGCCGGACCCGCCCAGCCAATCGCCGTTCTCCGCGCCAAACCTGAAACCTTCCGTCTGCCCAACTACATCCCGCCGCAACCGCGCTGGGCATTCCAGCCAATCGGCTTCTTTCCCGTATCGCTCGGGCTCCTCCTATAAGGACCTGGTGTTGTTTTTTCCCTCCCTTCCTCTTTCCGAGGGGCGAAGCAGCGCACAGGGGACCCAACTTCCGGTTTGATTTTGGAACGTTCATCCCGCGCTCTGGGCGGGGCTTCGAAAGCCGCGAAGTTCCACAGATAAGACTCAGGCGGTTTCTTCTGATAAAGCCTTTTCTCTCCCCCCTCCCATCAGTGGACTACAATCCCCAGAAAGCATTGCTGCAAAATAGATGCGAGATGTTGGGAGGAGCACGCTGGAATATGTAGTCCGGAAATGCGGTTTCCCCCCCCCCAGGCTGGGAAAGCAGACGCACACTTCCGAGGCTTTCCGTGGCTGCGACTTTCTTGAATTCCACGGCTTATGGAAGAACAAAGGAACTAATACACTTTTAAAGATAGACTACTAAGCCCTCTTCTGTGGCCGGTGAGGCACATGAAAGGTTTTCCTCAAATGAGAGATAGGAATACATTTCTGTGTGCTGCATAGCACTGACTAGAATACACTAAAGGTGGAGTAACAGTTGCTTTGTATTTCAATTGCAGTAGCATAATCGAGGGCCACCTAAGAAGCGGAGCAGAAGGAATTAAGACAATCCACCGTCACCCTGGTTCCATCTCCTTACTGAGCTGCTTCGAATCCCTTCACATAGTAGCCCTTTAAAACCAACTGAACAGTCAGGAAAGCAGCTTAGTGTGAATGAGCCCTAAACAATCTTGCACCGCAGCTTCAATCTGGACTTACTCCTTTCCTCTTAAATAACTTTTATAGAAAGAAAGGGTGCAGTCCAGGTCTTGCAGAGGCACACCTGGGATCAGCAACCCACCCCACAAAATTACCACTATAGCCACATTAGAATTTACTACATTTTACGTGACCCAAGTACTCAAAGCTTCTGGAGGTCGAGAAGGGTGAAAAGTTTGCACAACTTTGGGCCATGGTGTGGATGGGAAGTGTCTCCCGTGTTTGATCTCAGTCATGATAGAGCCGTTGTTGCCACACACGTAAACATAATAAATTCCAGAGTCTGATAGATCATTTTTACGCCCTCAGCATAGCTGGTTTCACCAACTCCTAGGTACGCTTTTGAGGCCTTGGGGTATTTCTGTTCAGAGTCTCACATTTCAAGCAGTGTGTGTGTGTGTGTGTGTGAGAGAGAGAGGGGGGGGGGGGAGAGAGAGAGAGAGAGAGAATGGAACTAGAATGAGCTGTACCGTGTAAGAAATACGTGTATTTTTGTTATTTATATCTGCCTTTACTCCAGGGAGCTCAAGGTGGTGTATAAGGTTCTCATCCTTCTCTATTTTATCCTCACAGCAACCCTGTGAGGTAGGATAGCCTGAGAGACTAGGCCACTGAGTGGGAATCAGAACCCTGGGCCTGTGGGAGAAAAGGGCTAGGTGGCAGTGAATGGGAAGCAAGTATTTTTGTTTCCCTTCATTTGCTTCTTTCAAGGCACCCATATCTAACATAGTGCTTGGAAATTCTGAAGGGTTTTAGTCAGATATTTGTGAAATTTCAAGTAGCCTTGAGTCCACACAACAGAGAAAGATATCAATATAAAAAATAAAGCTTCATTGTGCTTACCCATGCTCTACACGTTCAATTAGCAATATTCATCTTGAAGGCAGAGAACAAATTATGCAAACCACTGTTTGTATTTGATTAATTTATTAGATCATGGACACAGACTCAATTCTGCATCAGCAGACGCAGTTACAATTTTAGTAAAGACAGCACCACTTACTGTGGGTCAGGTACAGTGTCTTGCAAAGTAGTGAAATAGTAAAAGAGAAGGAGGCACTATCAAACATAGTAGGTTGGGAGCAAGAGTAAAAACCCTCCACCCTCTCTTCAATCGGCCTCTCAAGAGGCTTCAGCAGATGCTACCTTCATGTGTTAAACCCTCATCTCTACGGAAATGACGAAGACTAGTCATTTCCCCATTAAAAACAAAGATAGGATTACTGTATGATGAATGATATGGATTTAGGAGGGAGAGGAGCTGGCCTCGAAAACAAACATGCTCTGCAGAGTGGGCAGGATACTGTGCTGTACTGGAAGTCTCGGGGTATGTCTTGTAGCACAGTTATTCACTAACCCTTCTCACAAGCCCTCTACCAGCAGTTTTGTGAAACAGGGGCATACAGCTGCTGCTGCTGCTGCTGCTGCTAACTCAAATCTTAAACTACTGCCCTCTGCAAATAAGCCTTAGAGGAAACTGGCAGGAATTGCTCTTTGGAGCTCCCATTAGGAAATAAATTCAGGAAGAGGGATGCTTAGTATAAAAACTGATCACGTACTCCATTCATACGGGAATACCCAAACCATCTGTGCTTATTGTGATAGCTCACAGTTCATGGAATTTAAGACTCTCTCAAAGCATTCTGACCATTTTAACGGCAAAAAAACAAACACCAAACCAAAGGTTTTAAAAAAACACCAAGGATTTCTCCAAATGCCACATCAAGAACACAGTTGCTTATTTTGTAATGGGATAAGCAAATTGTGTAAGAATGTTATAACCCTCACAGAGAAAGATGCCTCACATGATTCTGCTCACAGCAAACGACTCAAGAATCCTGGGATTCTTCACTTGCAGGCAGTCTAGACTAGAGGAAGCTTTTCGAAACCTTTACAAAAGCAAAGCAAAGGTGATGGGGCAAACGAAAGGACAGTTTTATCTTAAAGGCAAAGGGTAGACTTGAAACAAAGTAACAGTGCAAGAGACCAAAATTCTAGTTCTTGAAACCACAAGAAGTGGCTCTCAGTAGTGTTTCTTCACTTAACAGTAATGATACTGTTAAACCAAAGCTTAACATAGGATACAGAGTGCATATCAGCTTGCAAGAGACAAAAGATTGACCAATATCCCACACACACAAACCCCCAATGGGAGCCACCTGAGGATAAGGCACAGTGAGTGAAACTCTGAAAACTTGCTATTCAACAATGGGCGTGTTGCACCCTCCACAACAGCCTCTGCCCTGGCACACTCATGCAGTTTCACACTTCAGTTACAATGGAAGACTAGTGAGAGAAGGGCTGGGTGCGCACACAAGAACTGAGCCAAGATAACTCAAATCCTATACCAAGAAATGTGGAATTCTATAACCTATTATACAAATTTAGCCAATCTGCATGATTCTGTTTCTGCCCCATTTTCTATTTCTGACGCTGCTAGCCATGCGTTGGTGTCAATGAACCACACAGAACAATGAAGGCGTCTCTTTCCCTTGACCACCAGTAAGCTTATCCAGCTGTTCCACTGGTTAATACTCCACTAGGCACTGCCCACACGTTTTCAAGCACCTCTTGTTGGCTACAAAGGACTAGAACCATTTTTGACTCCCCAAAAATGGTCCAGGTCCATTCTCAGAAAACAGAGTTCTGCACCAGGACATGTGAGCATCTCCTGCACTTCCATGGAATAATGGCACACACAGTACTACTGATTCAGAGCTGTAGGCAGCCTGTCCTCTGAATCTGCATCTCCAATATTGTGCAGTTATTCTTGGCAGCATGTGCGTCTTTCACAGCTTCACAACATAGAGGCTCCTGCATGTCTGCATTGTGCTGCTATGTTCTATCAACCCAGCATCCAAATCTGTAAGGCAACCGTTTCAGGAAACCAGGCAGATGAGGCCCAAAAGCTGCAACCGGCATTACACTCTTAAGATTGGTCTTGTCCATATTTTCCATATTAAGCCATAGTTAAAATTACGGTTTAAAATGATGGCTTAGTGTTCTGTCTGAACCTACCCCGCAAGCGGTAAGCCAGGAACAAACCTTGATTACCAATCATTGGTGGTTTGGAGTAAAATAAATCAAGGTTGTGGGTTTCGACATAATGGTAAGCCATAGCAACACCAGGAGTGCAGGAGCGAACCACCCGCAACTTCAGCAGTGCCTAGTAGCACACTGCATGTTCACATTAAACCACAGTTTATTTTAACTATGGTTTAATATGATGTGCGAATCAGGCCACTATGCATTTTCTTGCAGCTAATCCTGGAAAAAACCACATATCAATAGGGACAGCTGTGGAAATGAAATAAAAACTGGTATCTTGATCACCATTCCTGAATCTTTGTTCAGAGAAGGAAATATTTGAAACTTATCCTGGACTGTTCTTCAAGATGTATACAGAAAGAAACATGCTTCAGTCCTCTATCTGAAAACAAAAACAAACAAACAAAAAACCCATGCCAGAAGATTACCAGGCTGAGCATGATTTTTAATATAAACTTTTTCTAGAAGGAATTGTATTCAAATATGTGATTCCTTCATCTGCAGCCTGAAATGGTACAGCCCAAGGGAAAGAAACTTCATTGCTTGATTTTGCTAAAAACAAAACTAACTGCTAAGAGTCTCCAGGCATAAAGTATGTCTGCCACCTTCAGCAAAACTCAAATACCTTTTGGCAGAGTCAATGAGTTGGGAGAGCAAATTTGAGGTTTTCATCTTGGTAGTGGGTGATGCGAGTTTCACATTTGTGGTTTTTAAAATGCTATATAAACCTGGTCTGAGGTCTTAGGACAGGATGAAATAGGAAAATGTCTCTCTGTGTGCCAGTTTCCCCTTGTACAAACACACCTGGTCAATAAGGAAATGCAAAGCCACCCCAACCCCAACCCATCCCGCCCCCCCAGGCAATAAGAACAGACCTAACATGGGGAAAAAGGAAGGAGGAAGAAAGCAGTGCTTTGGCCCAGAACGTGCAAGTATAACACAGGTGCCTCATTTAAGAAGTTTTAATTCCACTGCCATTTTGAACTTAGGAACCCCCTTCACAGTTGCTTCACAAAGGGTTTATCTACGGGAAGCTAACATTATAGGGAACATAATCTTTAATAAAAATTAAACACACACATCAAAAATGCACAGTGCATTTAACTTCTCTTCCCAGCAAGCTATGCTGGGTAAGACTTAATTTTCCTCCAGAAGAAAAAAGGAATTCCTCCAACCAAGCATTAGCCCTCAACATGAGGGACTGCCTGGTCATTAACATAAAAGTGGATGAATTTCCATCATCATTAAAAAAAAAAAAAGATTAAGTAGAAGGTGAGGGAGCTTTTGTAGTGTATGGCCAGCAAGCCTACCTTGATCCTATATTACAAACTTTTTACAACATACAAAATAGATCAATATTTATGATTATAACACGTATTTCCCAACCCGCAAGTTATTCAAGAGTAAATATACACAATAATTATAACAAATCTGGTACCAATCACATGACAGAAGTACTGTGTAAGGCAAAAAAAAATCAACCAACCAGTTAGCTAGCTAGGTCTGATGTTATAACAATCTGCATCAAGTATAAACAAGTGCAGGGGCCAAGAAGATGACAGCAATTCTGCTTCTGTTTCAGGATCAATAGTGTTCAGCGCAGAACGGGATGCATCTACTTCTGGGAAGCAGTGTAGTAGTGATTTCTGAGCAGGCCACCATGCATGGAGACAAAGCCACACCAAGAAGAACATGTGCAATCTACAGCTGGAGTGTATTTCTTGCTTACTGGTAAAAAGGCAAATGAGAATGCCACTGCTCTGACCTCAAGCCCCAAAACAAGCACTATGAGATCTCCCTCTGATGGCCGGCCAGGTTTTCTGTGCTACAACCAAGACACCTAGATTGCACAGGCGACACTTCCACAGGGGGAGCAACAAGCACCCCAACGCTCACATGCACAGATGGCAACTCTCCTCCTCCTCCTCGTGTGCAAGAAGCACCGAGAACATGATCATCTGTGTACAAAATATATTGCATGAAGGGGGCTCTCTAGTCACCCCCAACCTTAGCAGCTACTTTGCTGGAGTGGGATATTAACCGTCACAACGATCAACTCAGAGTTACGAGTGATCAATTTACCGTTTAACCGTTTGCATTTGCACACACCGGCTGGGGGCCGCTGCTTGGAATAGGACACCACTCATAACCAGAGCTGAATGCTTCCCTATCTGACTTCCTTCCGGTGCCTCAGGGTGGGCAGGCAGCCGGGACCCACTCAACCCTCAGCACAACGGTAAGCCCCCAAAACACGCCTGCTGCCAGAGGGCATTAATACATAGGACAACTCCTTCTCAAAGCTACCCACGGCTGGAGGAGACAAGATGGGGCCGTGACTTCATTCGTGGAAACAGTAGGAAGTGATCTTTCTGAAGAGGCAAGACAGTCAATGTCATAGTCTGAACAACAACAACTACAACTTGGGGCCTAAAGTGCACTCTGCCCTGCATGGCCGCGACATTTGCGCCCATGGCAATGCCACACATGTGGCAGTAGCGACTGACAAGATTATAATCGGCATGATTAGGAGTCACAGGGATTTGGACTGGAATGCTAGCAGCCGACACTCAAGGGAAAGATGACAGCTTCAGATCTGCAGGACAAGGAGCGCTGCAGCGATGGAGTGTAAATCTGCACCCTGAATTTCACTTGTGCTACCATGGATGCTGCTACATTTGTATAGCTTTCTCTATTTAGAATTCGCTGCAAGCGATGCTGTTTATACTAATTTTCTCCCCTCCTCCCTTCAAGTTAACCACAATTTTAACGTGTTAGTATGTAGTGTCTGCATTCAAAAACAGAATAGCTATTTCAGTCCTTCTAATGCTCACCTCTTAAAAAGAAAAAAACCAGAATTCCCCACTTTTCAGGCATTTCTCTGCCCTACGCTAGGCAAAGATCAGTTGCTTCGACCTGGCCCAGAGATCCAAAACAGTCCTGTTTGGCTTGCGTTTCTGGAAAATATTCACTGGACCCTTGATCTTGAACAGTAGTTGTTTGTGAACTGGGGTGGCTCTTCCCTCCATGACACGAATGGCAAGGGAAATGAGAAACCCACACAGATCTGCAGAAAAGGGTTCTCACCCAGCTGTGCCAAGAGACGTCCTTTTAAGTCCAGGTGTGAAATGCATAGATGGAAGTGAGTAATGGTAGGTTTGCCCGGGTTCTTGAAACAGTTTGGGGGTTGGGGGAATCAACAGCAGGAATGTATTTTTCATGCAGGTTTCTGAGGGATGGGGAGGGAGGGGGAAATCTGAGAACACAGGTCCATTTTTTTTGGTGCTGTGGAACCATGCCCAGCTGCTGTTTTTCACCTTGGGATGGGAGGCAGAGGAGGGGCCCCACGAGTAGCTGAAAAAGAAATAGATTGTTAATGCCACAGATGCATCACCATAGGAAGTTAGGCTCTACAAAGATGCTGATCACAAAGCAAAAGAGATAATATTAATATTAGTAGTAGTAGTAGTAGTAGTAGTAGTAGTAAGTATACCACCCTTCATCCAAAGATCCCAGGATGGTTTACAACATAAAATAAGAACAAGGATAGTTCACAATAGAAAATCAGATACAAAATACAAAACAAAACAAAATCAATAACCTCCCAATAATCAATACATTGCTACCACTATCCCTAGGTAGTCATTTTGCCAGGGCTACTGAGGTGCAGATCTCATTAGGCCCACCAGGCCTCCCTGTTTGGCCCAGGAGGCTATTTTTGCCAAGCTACATCCACCTGCCCTACACCTGACATCAAGTGCAGGGCACGTAATAACCTAGCTCAGCTGAAGGGGGCTTTGCAGGCACTGCTGATCAGCTGGGACTGCAAAGCCCCGTACCAAGGGCTCAGCAATGCCAGGCTATCAGCTGACAGTAAAGTGTTTTTAAATCCCTTGTAAAGTGCTATGCAAGACCTGTTGGGTGAAAAAAGGATGACCTTGCACCACTGTGACATTAGGTGACTTACAGGTGGGTGGATCTGTCTACCTATAAAACTTGGTCCATGTGGGATGGGGGAAGATAATAATTTGCCGCACTAGCCAAATTCAGTTCCCCACCGTTGCACGATGCAGATTTGAGTTACGCAAAAAAATTAAAATAAAACAAAACTGAATCATAGAATTGTAGAGTTGGAAGGGACCCCAAAGGACATCTAGTCCAACCCCCTGCAGTGAAGGAATCCTGCCCATAGCCATCCCTGGGTGGGCTCAAACCACCAACCTTCTGATTAACAGCCAGACACGCTAACCCACTGTGCCACTTCAAACTTGCACATCGTTCTCATGTTTTCCAGGTAGCTAGGATTCTGCATCTTGTTCAGCCCATTCCAGCACATCCTTTGCCATGAAGAGCAGTGAGTCATCTCGTTCCCACCCCCGGGGCTCCCCAGTCAGTCTGCTTCTGCAGCTGCTCCTGTAACTCCTGCATTCCCTCTTCCTCACAAAGGCACAATGAACTTGGACAAGTCTAAATCAGAACCAGATTTAATTTATGCAAGACTGCACAGTTTGCATAATTTGAAGAGGCCCGGAAACAGAATGAAGGAATTGTTGATGATTTTAAATAAAATCATCTCATTCGTAATGCTGGCAAGCCATATTCTCAGTCCCACAGAATTAAATTGCTTACCACAACTTGCCAAATTTTCAAGCATGGAGCTGAAAATAATTTGCTTTACGAACTATCAGCCAGATACCTGGGAGACCAATAAGCAGATGTGAGCCAAATCAGTGCTCACCTCTATTCGTTTTGCTGGGATAAATCTTCTGGAAGTGCTTGAACTCTTCTGGTGCTGGGAAATCTTCCACTGGATGAAAGGAGTATTTAGATTCAAAGTCATCTGCAGAAAAGGAGGAAAATAAGGCCTGAAAACCATTTCTGGTCTGAAGGATTCCCACTGCCCTACTTTTCACATCCATAAAACCCTGAGTCTGGAATGGTGGCTAAAATGGCAAAACTTGAAGCAGCCCCATCCTGAAAGTAAGACATGGGGCCGCTCTCTCCAGCTGCCAAATTACCGTATTTTTCCCTCTATAACACGCAGATTTTTTCTCCTAAAAAGGAAGGGGAAATGTCTGTGCGTGTTATAGAGCGAATGTGTGGTCCCTGGAGCCAAAAAATCAAGCAAAAGTCAAATCGCGAGTCACAGAGAAGGGAAACCTGAAAAGAGGAAGTGGCAGCTTTCCTGCATTCTGCCTCAGGGTCTTACTGCCCACCCTTCTCTGTTTCGTTGCTGTGATTGCTGAAACGGAACAAAGAGCAGGGAAAGCCCCTCCCCTCCAGGCAAGCAGAGTGTCGTTCTTTCTAATTCCTCTCTGTGCTCCGGTGCTGTTGGGGGAGAGGGAGAGAGAGTGGGGGAGGGAGAGGGAGGGGAGGGGAGGGAGAGAGAGGGGGGAGAGAGAGGGGGGAGGGAGGGAGGAGGGAGGGAGGGAGAGAGAGAGAGAGAGAGAGAGAGAGAGAGAGAGAGATGGCTGGCTTGGGGGGAACTTTTGCCTTTCTTTCCTCCCACCCGTTAAATCCCTCTCCAGCATTCTTAGCCAGCTGCTTCTCTGCACACCCCTCTCATGTCCCTTCTTTGTTTTTCCTTCGCTCCCCACTTAAAATGTGGTTACAAAGCATAGATCAACATGGATCCTCAGGATCTTTGCATTGGGTCACCCCAAATTCACCATCAGATCACATAGCATGTCCATGGCTACAGCCTGCACCCAAAAAATCACGCACCCACTGTTGCCTGGGGCTGCAATGGTGCAAAAACGTGGTTACAAAGCATGGATCCACAGGAATTCTCAGGATTTTTGGATTGGGTCACCCCAAATTCACCATCAGATCACATGTCTGTGGCCACAGCATGAAGCACAAAAATGATACATCCACTGTTTCATTCAGAATGTTTTTTCCCTTGTTTTCCTCCTCTAAAAACGATGTGCGTGTTATGGTCAGGTGCGTGTTATAGAGCGAAAAATACGGTATATGCAGATGCCATTATATGCACCATTATATGCAGATGCCAGACTGGGGGCAGAACTCACCAGGAAATCAGAGTCACCTGGTAATAAGAGCTTTGTGCAGAGTGTCAGAATGGGCATGAGTCAGCATTTCAACATTCCTATAGATATACCTATCTATATATATATAGTTTGTGTCACTGCTTCTCCAAGTAGCTGTTTGGGCATTCTGTACAAAATGAAATGTACCTAAAATAAACTGGTACAGACTATAAATAAAACATCCAGCGAATATATAATTCAAAGCATCAGATGCTTAACAAGCTGTCAACACCAAAAGGGAGATAGCGGTTCCATCTGTACACATGCTAAGCCAAACCCAACGAAGGATAAGTTCCCAGAGAACTTTGCACCTCCTTTTCCGGGTTGCTAGAAGTGAAGCCACAGTTTGGCTTAGCTTCCGACATTTGGTCTATTTTGCTTCAGACCAACCATGAGGTGTTGGCAATGTTTGTTCTGAGGCTGGACATGCAGAGTTTGTCTGGAGAAAGAAAAGCCATGAACCCGAATTTAGACATAGCATTAGGGGAAGCCATGGCTTAGTTCACAGCAGTGCAGCATCAGCAGGATGAAAGGAGGAGCAAAACTGCAGCAATCTCCTCTCTGGGAACCCACAGGGTCACTCATTCATGTCATGTTCACGCTAACACGTCTATGCCAGTGTCTTTCGTTTTAGAGCTGCTTCCTAAGCTTGTATGAATGAAGTTTCATCCCCAACACACACACTTCTTCCTGGCCGATCACAGTATTTTTTATAGCCACTGTAGTTAACCGATACCAGCCAAACCAGCAGAAGTATCGTAATTCTGGGCAGGCTGGTTTTCCTTTGAATCCAGCGCATGTCTCAAAGCCAACTTAAATGCACCTGACAACTATAATTTAAGGTAACACCAGGTTCTTTCTACTCACCTCCTAAGAAAGACCTGACAGTGGAAATAGAGTCCCGGTGTCCATTTCTCATGGGTGGGGGAGGCGGAGGAGGTCCAACTGGCGTTCTGGTGGGCGGGGGTGGGGGTTTCCCACGGCTCGTAGGGTCTGACGTCCCGTGCATTCTGTAGGGTGGGGGAGGAGGAGGCGCATCTCTACCGCCATTTCGGATCATGGGTGGTGGCGGTGGAGGGGCTGCAATGGAAATTTGCCAGGTCAGGATTTCATGAGCGAGCTTAGTAGCCAAAATGAAAGGGATAAGCAGAGTTCCCTAGGTAGCCAAGCAACTGAAACAGCCCTAGGCCTTCCATCAACATCATTGGCTCTGCAGGTCCTTGACAGCCTTGTCTTTTCCTTGCACCTGCTATATAGGGTTCCAGGTTTCTTTCCCTGACCTCCCAACTCTGTTAAGGAATTTTCTTACTTATTGAAGAGGCTAATTCACCTATGTGACCCTTAGCATGACGAGTTGTAGGCTACCAAGCCCTTGGCGAGCATTGTGCGCAGGCTGAAGTGACTGATCGCGACGTACCTGCACCAACTGTCCTCTCTGCTTCTTTTTGGAGGGTTTGCAGCTGCATGGGGAGTCACGATCTGAGCACAAAATAGGCTGATAAGATGATCGTGCTCCACAGTAACAAACACCCCACACTAAACAGGTTGGCTTATTTGTAGGGCAAGAATGTAATACCTGCTTTTTGTTGTTGTTGTTCTGAAAAGCACGAGGGTCTACTAATTAATGACCAGCTTTTTAATAACTATGAAGTTGTGGGGTCCTTAGGAGGGCAAAGCATACCCTTCTGCACAACATAGAAAACTAAATTTCGATCCCACATGTCTTGGTTGCAAAGACTTTCCCCATGCAACGTGAATTTATATTCCAGTCTTCCAAGCATCACTAACATGCTATGGTGGCAGTACCCTTTGTGCACAATGCCTGGGATGGGGAAGCTGGCCCTTCGGGTGCTGAGTTGGACTCAAAACTCCCACAAGCCGCAGCCAGCATGGCCTACGGTCAAAAATTGGCCACAACTTAAAACGACGGAAACTGCACATCCACACCATTATCCTTGTCTTTGCACAGCTCTTTCAAGCCTTCAAATGTTTCACCTGCAGATTTAGGAGTGACAACTCTCCGCTGGCATCCACCTGCCTTGGGAGACAATGGAAGAAGGGTGTGCCTTTGGGAACAACTGAGACTGTGAATTTGTGGCTTGGCCAGGTGATACCTAGCAAGTTTGTGGCAAAGGTATAGCATAGCATAGCATAGCATAGCACTGTAGAGTTGGAAGGGACCCTGAGGATCATCTAATCCAACCCCCTGCAATGCAGGAATATGCAGCTGGTCCATACAGGGATTGAACCTGCAACCTTGAGTGTTATCAGCACCATGGTCTAGCCAACTGAGCTATCCAGGCTCCAACTAAAAACTTCCTAATGGTCCAACTAAAAACTTCCTAATTCACAGCTCACTCGTAGTTGCTATGCTACAGAGCATGAAACCAGGCCATTCCTAACCTTCTTAAACCCACCGCATACACATCCTGGCACCAAGATTAGAGACTACGGGACAAGAAGACATTTTTTCCCTTGAGAGATTAACGAGAGGCTGTCAACGCCAAGACCACTTCCAGTTTTTCACAAACAAGGGCTAGGAGATGCTCTTACCTGCGCCCCGGCTTGGAGGGTCACGGGCAGGAGGTGGGGGCCGACTGCTCTGTAAAGAAGGGGAGGCTGAAGGGGGCGGGGGAGGAGCCATACCCCTTCCAGGCCCTGGTGTCTTTCGATGCAAGGAATTGTGTCTCTGCGGAAGCTCGGGAGCGGACTCGTTGGTGGGGCTGGCAGGGCCGTTGGGTACACCGGGGGGTTGGCGGTAAGGTGGAGGAGGGGGCGCCAGAGACTGGCCCTGACTGCTTGGTCCCGTTCGGATATTCACTGGGGAAGGGGGCGGCTTGATAGGGGGAGGAGCCGGCGGTCCATCCCGAGTCCCTGGGAGCCGCTGTCCTGGCGTTGGTGGCAAGGGCTTTTCGCGGTTGTAGGAAGGTGCTTTGCTGCTGTGCATGGGAGGAGGGGCAGGGGGTGCGTTGGCTCGGCGTCCCGGGGGTGGAGGCGGCGGAGCCGATGAGCTGTGTTTCATGCCGGTGCCGCTGGCGGTATTTGGCCGCGAGAGATCTGGCAAGGAAGGTCTCTGCATGCGCGGAAGTTCCGGAGGGGAAGCCCGGCTGTTGTCAGCGTCATCTTGGGGCCGGTTGCTGGTTGCAGACACCGGGGGCCGCGGAGCTGCTGATCTGGACCCAGGGACCTGGAGGCACTGCTTCCCAGAGGGACTTTCTGAAACCAAGGAAAGCCAGCACAAAGTTGCTTATTAGAGAAGCAAAATAGATCAACATCTCCTTCCAATATAAAGCAACTCCTTTTGGCAAAAACCACCATCCAATTAAGTGGAAACTGACAACGTTTGTCCTTGTACTGAGACCACAGCCAGTGATATACTGTTCATGCAGAGCCTATATTCTAAATGACTGGGAGGTTTTCAGATGTCTGGACACAAATGTTTCCCACACAGCAGAAGGGATGAACGATTCAAGTCAAATTTTAATTGCTGCACATAGAAGGGACATTAGGGGAAAGAAAAGGGCGACTTCTTGATTGCCAATGTAATCCTGGCAGGCAGCTAAAGCTTTGGACAATTCACTCACTTAGGGGTGCAAAATTCTGTTATTCCGTCCATTAACTTCCTACATCTACAGCTTCCTGAACAAGGGTCCTCTGATTCCCTTGCCTGTTCAACCCACTTGGCCTTCCTGGCATTAACAGCACACCACCTCTCATCTCCAAGCACTGAGAAAGTCCTCACTTCCAGCACTTTATCCTTGGCCAACCCTACGTCCATGTGCAGCTCCTTCTGAGCCCACTGCCTCCTACTTTCCAGTGCAACCTTTCCTCACTGGATTCTCAGCTTTCAAGCTCCTTGTTGCCCCTTAACTTCTCTCTTCTCCCCCATGTTTCAGAAGCCCGATTGGCTTCAATAAGTCAGGTATTAAGTGTTGATGGTCCCTTGCTGTGGAATGCTCTTCCAGCAGAGATTCGGCAGGACTCCTTGCTGGTAATTTTCTATCATCTCTCCCAGACCCAATTCACTTGCTTATACTTTTCTCCATGAAGTCAGTTTTTAAAAATTAGTTTCCATTTTTAAAATACTATTTTATATTGTACTGTACTTAATGCATTTTGTTGTAAACTGCCTTAATGTAGTCATATGAAGGGGAGGTCAACAATATGTGTGTGTGTGAACACACACACACACATATATACACATAGACATAGACATAGACATATACAGCAGCTGAATGACAGTGTTCAACCCCAAGGGATTTTCACAGCAGCCAACAAGTTAAATAATCAAGTCAAACAATGATCAATATTAAAATTCAGAACAGAAACTTATCAGAGGTAATGTAAACACACATGTCTCTTTGGGGAAGGCATTCCATAGACAGAGTGCGCTTCACCCCTACCATCAAAAACCCTCTCTTGGCCACCACCAGCTTCACCTTAGATGGCCAGAGTATCCAAAGGGGGATCTCAGAAGAAGATCTAGAGGTCCAAGTAAGTTCACGTAGAAGCAAGCAGTGTTGTAATACACCAGTAATACACAGGCAGACAGGTGGGGGAGGAGACATGGTTATTATGGTTGATATTAAGCCTGACTAGTCTCAGCTCCACAGGCATTAAGTGTCACTACAAGCCAACATAAATTTTCCTGATTGTTTCAATAAGGCACGGACTTGCTCTCAAAACCAAGTTGCAATCACTCTTCTTCAAGAGCTAGGATCACTCAAACACAAGGTTCAATGTCTGGTATTTCACAAATCATGATTTAAACCACTTTTATTCAGTCTAGTCCAGTCCACATTCTGTGGTCCTCACCTGAACTGTCCTTTACTCCCACAGGTCGAAGCTTGGGGACACCACCCTGGAAGAGGCCGCCCTTTGGTGGCAGAGGGGATGCGCCGGAGTTGTACCCGCCACTGCCCTTAGATTCTGGAAGAAAAAGGCCCCTGGGTTATTTATTTAGTTTCTAAACACAATTTTTTAAATACCACCTCAGGAACATAGGGAACTACCTTAATCTGAGACAGAACGTAGATCCAAGCTGCTCAGTTCTGTCTATGCTTTTCTCCAGAGTTTCAGGCAGGAATTTCCCCCAGCTCTAACTGGAGGTGCCAGGGATTGACCCTGAGGCTTTCTAATTACAGTGGAACCTCTACTTACCACCATAATTCGTTCTGGCAGCCCGTCTTTTAGGCGAAACGTTGTGTGCATGTGCAGATGGTAGCAGCCGCTTCTGTGCCTGTGCAAACAGCGGAAGCCGCTTCTGTGCGTGTGCGAATTGCGGCAAACCCGGTATTTACTTCTGGGTTTGCCATGGTCGCGACTTGGATCGGGCCCAAGTAGAGGTAGTTGTAAGTAGAAGTTCTACTATACACGAGAGAAGCTCTAAAGAGACGCTCTGCTCTACTCTACACTGAGCTATGGTTCTTCTCTTCTGGGCTTTACATAGGCAGCCTCCACCATATTCTTTTACTCAAGATGCTGCTTCTCAGCATGTGGACAAGGAAAAGACCCAGTGGTATTGGAGTCATCTCCTCCTGAAGTGGCAGTATGAAAGCAGAGAAGGTAATAACTTTACTGCTCAAGATCACATGGGTATCAGACAGCGGCTGCTGCCTGAAGAGCTAAGCACAAATACATCGTAGGCTGTACATTTACCTTCCCGCCAGGATTTAGAGACACCTGTTTCCGAGGATTTAAGTGTGCAGCTGCCAGTTCTATTTTACTGCTAACTGCAAAACTTTATTTCAAGCGTCTGCACCACTGGGACCTGTGCAGTTTAGGAGGTAGTTTTCTGCCTTCCTTCAGAGAACAAAGAGAACATTTTTTGCAACTACAAACGCAGACAAGAGAGTGCTGCTTGTGAGCTTCCCAGAGGCATCTGACTGGCCATGGTGGGAATGTTGGTTTAGCTAGACCTTTGGTCTGATCCAGCAAGGCTCTTATGCTGGCATACAGAGGGGGACTGTGCAAGAACTCACGCTGCCAAACAAGGAGGCTGCTATGCTTTACGCTGTCAGAGGGAATGATGGCCTCAGTCACAAAACAAAGGGACTGACTGCAGAGCCTTCCCCCCAACAGATCAAGGGAGAGAGCTATTGACAGCTCAGTCCGTAGAGCCTGAGACCCTTCATCTCAGGGTTGTGGGTTTGAGTCCCACATGGGGCAAAAGAGTCCTGCATTGCAGGGGGTTGGACTAGATGGCTCTCGTCATCATTTCCAATTCTATGATTCCACGAAGGGATGCAATCCAGACCACCAAGTTCCACAAGCTATGAGTGAGTTCAACACAGAAGGTGCCCTCTGAGAAGTGACCCGAGCAGTGCAGTCAGTAATTGCTACTCCTGTGAGGTTCTGCTCAGGAGTAAAGTGGGGGAATGGGGTGGCAGGTTGAGAATGACTCGTGGTGTATGCCAGCAAATAACTCCAGGTAACTCAAGCGAGTGAACCCAGCCACATGCTGCAGTGCACAGGGGAGAAGAGTCCTCCCCTTCCGGCCCTTTTGTCTTTCCCCAACTGCTCATACGGCACAAAGCCAGATCAAGCACACAGCGTATCAAACAGTCAAATCTAAGCAAAAGCCTCACCCCAAGGCAATTTTATGGGCCACAGCCCTGTCCCTCCCCACCTGCCTCACCTGATGCCTCTGTTTGTAGAGATTCTAGGCCATTTCCTCCCATACCTGGTGCTGAATTATTTTAAGAGTGAATGCTCAACAGAAGGGCTGAGCACCATCTGGAATTTTTTTTTGGGGGGGGGTATCACCGAGAGCTTTCCCAATTAGATAGCAAAGATCTTATTGCAACTGCCCCAGACCCCATGCTTACTCTCAATGACGGGTGCACTCCGGTCATTGACTTGGGTCACCTTTTTCAACTTGGCCCCTTTACAGATGTCTTGCAGCAAGGCTCCCCTCCCTCGCTGCTCATCCCTGTTCAGTTTTGGAGCGTCTGTGTTAGCCTGAAAGGAGAAGATCGGCAACCAGGTTAAGTGGAGAAAGGTAAGCACAGGAGTAGTTCTTGGGTGCCCCTGTGAATGCTTCTCAGCAGGACTCTTTGCATGTGGACAGCAGGGACAGGAGGAGGACCACCTACCTGATTGAAAGTTGGGGGTGGGGGTGGTCCAGGGGGAGGGGGAGGAGGTATTGGCATCTTGGCCCCACTCCCTGCCGACTCAGCGTAAAAAGAACTTTTGGTCACTCATAAACCTGCAATGACAGGGGTGAAAGAGAAAACTGTTACAAAGGAGAAACAGCAGCAAATGAAATAGCAGGAGGCAGTGACGGAACCTGGTGGGCATTGCTGCAGTTTCATACCCACTTCACCAGCTGCCACGAGAGAATGCCATTGAGGTAAGTATTTTATTCAGCTGATTAAAAAAGAGTATTTCATACAAGGTGACTGCAAGGCAGTTAAGAAAATAAACACAATAGAAGCAGGAGCACCGTCACATAATAAACAACACACCAGGATAAGAACTAAAATGCCTTGAAGGCGAGGGGAAACGAAGTTGGCTGCAAGTAAGCTTTGAAGCTGCAGACCCAGGTGACACACATGCAATATAGACCATATTCAAGACAACATTGGGGCACACATGGAGGACAACAGGTAAATCAAAATTATCTGCCTTAACTGAAAAAGTGAAATGCAGTTTAAAGATAAAAATGACAACTCAAGTATTCCACCCTCCCCCCCCCCGCAAAAAAGCCACCCCACTTTTTACTGGATTATCAACAGAAATTTATTATTATTATTAGAATTTATATACTGCCCTATTAGTGGTGTGAGGTGAGAATATTCTCTGCTAGAAAATTCTCCGGAGAATATTCTCGACAAACTGTAAATTCTAATGTAAGAACTAGTTTTACAACCCACATTTAAAAAATCTAGTAAATAATAAGTCAAGCTGTGATATTTCCAGTGTAAGTAGTGTAAATTAGTGGCAGGCTTAGTGATTAACGCGAGTCATTCACGTTGAATTTTCAATTTAAAGTTTGGTGCAAAAAAAATCAAAGAATGTGAATTCAATGCATTGCCCCACTGTACAAAAGTATCTGTACAGTTTTTGGTTGCCATCTAAACAAGTTTACCCATGAATAAACATGCATATTAACCAATTATATCATTTTCAATGCATTAAAATGAATGTTCTCCTATTTTAAATGAAAATTCTCTAATATTCTCATTAATCGAGAATATTCTCGAGAACTTAACATCACTACACCCTATACCCAGAGGTCTCAGGGCAGTTCACAAAATAAGATTAAGGAAGGGCCTTTTTATATTGTGCTATCATTTAACATTGCTGGCATTCTGAGCTGCTCTCTACCATATCTTTTGCATAAGCCACGGAACTAGCCAACAAAATGGAAGGATAAAGGAAAAGAGTGGCAGGTAGAAGTCAAGTGTGCTTATACCTCTGTACAATATACAGCATTTTAGCTATGGTACCCAGATTTTTGGTTTTCTCGTTTATTTATTTTTAAAACCTTTTCTCACACAGAGGTACCGTACTTTTCCGTGTATAAGACTATATTTTTTTCTTGAAAAATCATGCTAAAAAATTGGGGACGTCTTATACATGGATAGTGAATAGGGTGGACATTTGATTGGTTGCTGCTGCGTCTATTAGTGGCTATTGTGCGTGTGATTGGTTGCTGCGTCAATTGGTGGTGTTGATTGGCTGACACTGTGGCAATTGGGCGGGCGATCAGCAGCTTCTGCTGGGGAGGGGGCAGACGGGAGGTGGATTTTGTGACACATGCGGGTGAGCAATTTATGGCAATTCCCCCCAAAAAGCTTAACAACCCTGTGTAATCTCCCCCCATTTTCTGAAATTTGAGTCTCCAAAAATATAGGGCGTCTTATCCATGGGTGCATATCATAGACGGAAAAGTACAGTAAACAGCCTCCTAACAAGTGACACTCTGAACATAGGTATACCACAAATTTAATCAGGTCTGAAAGAAACTCATTTAACTGCCACGGTTCCCAACCAAGGAACCACCCAGACAACTATAGTCTTGTGAAGAGACCGAAGATCTCTTAACAACATACTCAACACTCTCCCAAATCGACCATTCCAACAGTTCTCCGAAGGAAGCCGTGACAATTTAAGTGATATAAAACTAGTTTCGATTTGTAGAGCAGATTGACTCATAATGAAAACCGCCCCCCGGTGAATATATTTCGTGAACACAACTATAATAAGTGAGCCTGGAAAATTCCCAGGATCAAAAGCACTTGAAGTCGGGGGGGGGGGGTCAAAGAATTTGACATGTTCATATCCCATAACTGGGAATAAGAATGTGCAAGGATGCTTCTGACACTTCTAAGTGCAGGCCAACCTATACCCTGGAAAAGTGAACAGGAGTTCAGTTTTAATACAGCACTGCGTTAGCTGGTAGTGCTATAGCAGGCTCTGCATAACCTGATTGACAGGCAGAAACATCCGCCACCACGTCACCACAGAAGTACTTCGGATGAAGCAGATACAGGAAGAAGGGGTGTGATTCACCCTAGATACACAATGCCAATACCTGTCAGAAGCACAAGCCCAATGACATCAAATTACCAGTCGGAACTATTACAGACAAGCCAGTCTAATGCTAGTGGAATGCACCCGGTTTCAGCACCTGCCCATCCAAGGAAGGGAGTTGCAGCAGCTCGAGGCAAATCAGAGAAATCGAGTTCTGATGAACTCCAACCAAGGAGGAGCTGCCAAGAAAGCTCACTCCCCTGAAACCCTCATGCAAGGCAACCCATAACAGTACTTAAGAGACCAGATACCTTTGCCAAACCCCAGCTCTGCCAGAGGAGGTGTGAAGCATTTTAAAATACTGGCTAAAAAGCAAGTCCAATACTCGACTTGCTAAAAAGCAAGTCCAATGAATGAAAAAAGCTTGGGAGACCGCAACTCCAGGCATCTCCACCACCACCCTAAGAGCAGGTGAAAGTAGGCATTTCCCAGCCGAAAGGCACGATCCACTAAGAACGTTTCCCACCTGTGAAATTAACAGAAGCTGCAAGAACACACAGCCTACTCTGGATATGCTCTAGGGCACCTGCAGTTTCCAAACCTGAAAAAAACTTTGTTTTTAAAGAAATGCTTCTGACCTTCGTGGATACAGAGATATGAAAGAGGATGCTTGCATCAGCTATTTCCCCTAAAATATAGATTCCCAAAGTGGTGCCCTCCAGGTGTTGCTGGATGACAACTCTCAGCATCGTTGATCACTGGCCATGCTGGCAGAGGTTGATAGGAGCTGCAGTCCACAATCACATCTGGAGGGACCCAACTTGCCTATCTCTGGCCTCAAATATCCAGGGAACAGAAAATATTAGGTACCTCCAATTTCAACTTTCACGAAAGAGGCTATGTAGCAGGCAGGAGCATTTCCTCTCGAATACAGTGGTACCTCAGGATGTGTACGGGATCCGTTCTGGAGCCCCGTTTGCATCCTGAAGCGAATGCAAACCGCGACTGTGTGTCTGCGCGGGTCGTGATTCGCCACTTCTGTGCATGACGTCATTTTGACCATCTGCACATGCACGAGCGGCGAAAACTGGAAGTAACACATTCCGTTACTTTCAGGTCACCGCAGAGCACAACCGGAAAGCACTCAACCTGAAGCGCATTCGACCAGAGGTATAACTGTAATCCTTTTGCTGTTCTTTCCCTAAGTACGGCAATGACAAACACAGGACTGTAGAGGAACGGAGAATTAAATGAACTGGGGGGGGGGGGAGCACAATGCAACATAGCACCTTGCAGCAAACAATCCAGGTTTGCAAAGACGGTCTCACAGGCTACCCTTAAACAGCTCTTGCAAATAAAGTCATTAAAATCACCAGCCTACTGGATGTTTTGCCAGCCTACTTGCCTCCACACCCTTGGCTAGTCACTTGTGGTCCCCCCCAAAAAGAAGGGAGGGGAGGAAGAAGTGTTTCGTTCAGGTTTTCCTACTTGGTCTTCTAAGGAAGATTCCTGCTCACTACAGACAATCTGTCTAGTGGTTACCTGCCAACCTTCCTTAAACTGCGACAGGCTGCCTAGAAGTCATCACTGGAAATCTTAGCTCTGCCTGGTAAGACAGCAGCAGTTGACAAGAGATGGCACAGCCAAGCATCCAAAACTCTGGCAAAGTGACTGAGCCTTCAAAGAGATCAACCTGGAGAAGTGCTGCCACCATGTTTCACACCATTAATGAAATGGAAACACTCTCCCTATTGTCAGGTAAATGCTTTTTGTTTGTTCTTTTTGGACCAGTGATATTTTGTTTGACCTATAAGTCGGTCTCCCTTAAAGCTGGCTGGGCAATACTCCACAAGAATATACACGCTTCTATTCCACTGCTTATTTTCCTTCTTCCCGTCCCACTTGTTTGCAAATTGGGCGCCTCTACCTTTTATTGTTTAGAACAGGCTAGATATTAGAACTGCAACCCAATTAAACAAATGCCAATTCATTGTCAGACGTCTTTGCCCCAACCAGCTGTTGTTGAAAGTATTTCATGCTACCAGGATCTATGCATCCTCTGCCTCATTACTTGTGGTCAACGTTTACAAGCTTAATGGTGCCCAAAGAACAGGCAGTGTAACCTAACCTGCAGCTGTCCTCAGAGAGCTTCTTTTCTCTGCCTGGAATATCAGGTCCCCTTATTTACTCAGATCTCCAATTTAGGAATAAAAATGCTATATACTAACATATTCAGTATGAAAGCAATCAAATCAGAGAAATGTACACCCAAGGCTAGATATTTGCCACCACTCAGTCATGCCTTTTTTTTAAAAAAAAGTTCATAGCATTGTACAATGGAAGTACTAAAAGATCCTCACAACTACTTGAAAGGGAATAAAATTGGATGGAAAATAAAACATACCCAAGATAGGAGCTTTCAATCAAGAAGTCAGAGAACACAATTTAGTTTGTTTCATCTACTGAAGCTCTGCCTCTCCGATTCCATTCCTGTTCTGACTCTCATCCCAGTCTGCAGTCACACTTGGGTTTACAAGCATGCAAAGACGCAACACCCATGATGTGACTACAATGTTATGGGGGCGGTGTGATAGTTTCAAAGCATGGTCACCTGAGGAGGATGGGAAGTGACTGGTCGAAAGGCAGCAAGCACTCAATTAATCACGCAGTCTCTGGGAATGCATGTGCTGCAAGACATGTAAGCTGGCAAAGATAGCCGAAGCTATGCCTAGCATGAAAAACCCTTGATTGACTGATGGAGTTTGTCCCATTGGTTCACTTGCTGTATGTAGTAGAACACTGACTTTTTTCTAAGCAAAACACTGAATCAAGCAACTGTGGAGCAACTTGCCTGAGTCTCCTCTGCTTTTGGCTCGTGAAAATTTGGGGATTAAATTGTGCACATGATTACTGGGGTGGAGGGGAAGGATCTGAATTTAGAGGGGAAAGCTTTAGAATTTACAAAAAGCACCAAGTGAAGTAGTGTATATTTGAAACACCATTGAAAAGGTATACAAACACTCCATTCTGCCCCTTTTGTGACATTTTCATGTCACTTCTGGGTTTGGTGTGATGCGCATGTGCGCAATTGCGCACATAATGAACATGCGTAAATGCCTGTATCACAATGTGCTGGTCAGCCTTGAAGGTGCCAAAGATGACCCCCAAGGTACTATGCCACCATTTTGAAGCTTACTAGTGACTTGTGTTGGAATTTTTATTTTTTATTTTAATCTTGCTGTAGTACTGCTACTGTGGGAATAGAAGTGATTTAATCATAACAGATGCCCTGGCTCATTAACTTCCCAGAAACACAGCGAGCCAGATATAATCGCCCTCATTATTGCAAAAACAAGATGCTGTTTTCTCTCTGCCCAGCATTTACGATATTGACAATTCCTTTCCTAACGATGGTCGCCTTTTGCGTGCCTCATATGCCCTAAACGGAACCAAGCAAACATGTTTACTCCCACAATGCAACTTTCTGTGAATGGCAGCAGCGAGAGAGTGATAAACGCAGCAAAACTGTACAGTATTGGTGAAACGCCTCCTCTCTCTTCTAGCTATTAACAGCTATTTAATAGCTAGTAGCAACATGGGGACAGTGATCTGTCAGACATGGGGAGCAGGCTTTAACCCAGGGGTCGGCAAGGTTTACCTCGCCTGGGCCGGATCACACGCAGCCACATTTCCAGCGTTTGCATCTGCGCAGACACAATTTCTGGCATCTGCGTCTGTGCAGACACGATTTTTTGGCGTCTGAGCATACGCAGACGCAATTTCCAGCACTGCGGAAGTGAGTCCCCGTGCTGCGCTAGTTTAGCGCAGTGCGTGGGGGCTTGCCGAGTGGACGGCTCAGTTCGGGAGCGGCTCAGGAGAAGGTTAAACGACCCCTGTGGGTCACTTGTTTGCCCACGGGCCTTAGGTTGCCTACCCCTGCTTTAACCTCTTCCTAGAGCTCACTATTCACCCAAGCACTCCCAATTCCCCAAACTGCTAACACCTGTTAACAATGCTACCTGTGGTCTGAGAGCACAGACTTCCCATAAAGGCACCCAGTTAAGGGACTGGGCCAGCAGATTATGCCTTTCCTATACTTTACCAAGATCAGCCAAGAGCATCCTCTGAATGCCACTTAAAACAATACATCTGGACAGCAATGACATGCCAAGAGCCATCCCACTGACAGTCCTCAATGACAGAACTTCCCCCCTCAGGAGCTGGTGTTGCATGAGGACTAAGGGACTAAACTATGTGCCATGATGTCCCCAATCAAAATTCTACATCTACCAAGAGCTCATCAAGTCCTTTCTCTCTGCCTCAGTCACCAGGCGGCAAAACGGCAACAGCAACAGAAATTTTGCTTTAATCCCAGCTGCAAACCCTCTCGCAGCCTATATTTGAAGTGACTTATAAAAAATCCAGGTATTAGCATGGAACAGTTACAAATATATTGTACTGTGTCATTTGTGAAACTCATCTCTGTAGTCCACAAAGAGACAATAGCTTTGATGGAAGCACCAGTCATAAAGCTTACAATATTCAGAAGTTTGGGTAACCAAGAACCTAAAGAAACTATTTCTGGCCAACTTCACCCTGATGGTAGAAAAAAATTAAAAGTGATTTTAGAAGGTGGACCTCCTTTAATCTTTCCATACTGGGAAAAACTGCTTCCATAAAAAAAATATGTCTTGTCTGCCTAAGTTATTATCTCTTCAATTTTTAAGCCCAAATTTTGGCCATTGAAATATTTCGATCTAAAGAGTCTTGGGTGAATAAATCTAATATGTATTAAACAGGCAAAACAGGTGGTTGGGAAACACCAAAAATTAACCTGTATTATGAAGCCAATGAGTTAAGGCAGGCTACATCCCTAATAACTAGCGATACACGAAAGGCATGGGTTCAAATGGAAGAAACGCACAATATGGAAATTTCAATAGATGCTATTCGTTCAATGGGCATGCAAATACAGGATGAAAATGTCCCCCCCTTTTTTTAATAAGAACAGGCTTCAGTATTGTTATGGCTGGGGTAGGGGAAAGGTTTATATCATTTAAATGAATTTTACTTGAAACTCTGAGCCACTTGGAGGAAGGGTGTTGCAGGAGAAACTTGGAACCCTGGGATGTAATTGGCTGGTGTTGAAACAAACCACCTCTTTTATATCACAACAAGAAATAAAGGCTCAAGCTGCCCTCACTCTCAAAGATTTTGAACAGCTTGTACTTTCAAGTGTTGTTTGTTAACATGAGAGGATGGACATCTAAACGATACAGAACATTTGTGTCTCGTGACCTAAAAGAGTGTTGGGAAAGTGACCTAGGAGATGCCGCAAATGACTCTGATTGCAGGGGGAATTTGCAATAATTCTGTAAGGGCTGAAAGAGCTATGCTCAAAATAGTATTGGCAGGGGGCATTATACCACCGTAAGATTACCTCATGTATTAAAAACATCTTCTGCAAAATGTTGGCAATGTGGTCAGCATAATGGAATGTATTTCTACCTTTGGTGAGAATGTCCTCAGGCAGCCTCCTTTGGGGAATTAACCAAACTGCTCCACACCAGGTACAAACACAGGTACCCCAGAGAGGAAGACTACATCCTTATGAATCACACGCCCCTCCTGAGCCCTCCAGTCTGTCCAGCTTGTCTATCCATGCCTTGGTAATTCATGCCAGGATCAAGTGCTAGATAGAAGCAGGCATGCCCTGGGCTCTGCTCCTGGCCAGGGAACAGGAGCCACTGGAGATTTCATATGCCCCCATCTCCTGGACCAAGCTGATCCCGTATATAAACTTCATTGCTTTCTTTTTTTTCTTCTATTCCTTTTTCCTTTAATGTTGAGAAGCTTTGGTCTGGGTCTTATCTTTTTGTCATCTGTACATTGCTTAGAAAATGTTATGTTCTTTATTAGCTGCTGCTGGTAATAATAATAATAATAATAATAATAATAATACAGTCTTGGAAGTCGAACAGCCTAGTTGTCGAACGTTTTGGCTCCCGAACGATCGAAACCCGGAAGTGACAGTTCTGCTTTGCGAACGTTCTTTTGGAAGTTGAATGTCTGATAGGGCCTAGGCGGCTTCCGATTGACTGCAGGAACGTCCTGCAGCCAATCAGAAGCCGCGCTTTGGTTTCCGAATGTTTTGGAAGTCGAACGGACTTTCGGAACAGATTCCGTTCGACTTCCAGGGTACAACTGTAATGATGGGATTTAACAGCAACATCTGTTGATAGGGTAACTCAAGGGGATGGGGGAGGTAGTGGAAAGCGGGGCAACTTTTATGTTTCTGATCTCCCTTTCCCTGGAATGGCTTGTCTGTCCCCCACTGCCATATCTGCTCCTGCCCTATCTCAAATATTTGAACAGGGTACACATCCCTCCTCCCCAGATACCAATCCTGTAGTCCAGGAAAATGCTAACCATTATTTTAAGAATACCGCAGTACTACAGCAAGGCCAGAAAACAGTGATGGTAATGTGATTAGTGCATATGCAAACCAGTAAAAGGAGCAGCATTAATAAGTTGAAGTACAATTATCAAAATCAACACTCATTATAGTACTTTAACATATCACTGACCTTCTCCCCCAAAGCCTGTGGTATGGAGAGTGTTAAGAATGCCATCTGAATGGACATGTGGGGCAAATTTCTTACAACTGCATAATAAGAGGAGCCAAAACACTTATAAGACATGAATAGGTCATAGCAGTCTTCCCATTAACCTCTTGCCCAGGGCAAGTAACTGACTGGATCCTTACCTGAAACTGCCTTGTAACATCTAGGGACAAGTGTGGGGGCCATCTGGCAATTCTTAAAAAACACAATTTTACTTTATTTTTTGAAAGGCTGACCTACAGACCTGGAATGCTAGAAACATGTGGGAGGTGGGCATTCCAAGCCGGAAGACAAAACCAGCCCATGATGGAAGTGCTGTAGGAGACAAGCTAAGGTGGCAGGGCCCAAGAGAAAGCTCTCACATTGATCTGAACATGCCAAGTAGGGAACCGCTGTGGCTTAAATTGAATCAGCTTGTGACACAAAGGGATGATTGGATTGGCAACATTGCCACTGGCTGGTAGAGGTGCCGCATGAACAGACATGGCTTCTCAAGCATGGCCTGAGAAAGGTTAAATGGGGACTTTGGGATGCAGGTGCCAAAACCCACAGCATCTTGCAAGGAACACCCTAAACCAAATATTGAGGGGAAAGGGGAAGGGAACGCTCCAAGGAAGTAGCACCTGCTTCCTCCACCCACTCCAATTTTAGTGCTATTTGTTGCCTCGTCTCCTTTTACACAAAACATTAGGGCAGCGACAAAATGGAGCAAACAAGCTGGCTCGTTCACTTCTAATATTTTTGCTCAATCACACCGTTCCCGTATTTTACATTAAGACCCTTTCCAAGATCTCCAAGGAATCTGCAGAATAGGACAGACTTTTCCAACATTAGTTATACACGGCATTTCCCACACTACCTTTGGCAGGAATATAAACGGTGCTAGATACTTCTGCATGGATTACAATGTGCACAGAATTTCTGCTTAAGCATTCTTTATACGCAGGAATGTATTCCTCACAAGGCTGCTTGTGTTCAGTCAAGCAAGGCCTTCCCCTCCATTTGGTTTTCTGAAGAAGACACTATCGCTCCCTCTCTATGGTGGACCCTGAAAAGGGGCAGAGCACTTATCTTTTTATACTCTGACAACATTTAAATAACTGTTCCAAGGTACAAGGACATGTTCTTCAAACAGCAATCCATGCTCCCACTTCCCTCCTTTATTCATTCAGTAGAATGGACAACAGGTATCTTGTGTGCGGTGTATGGGCGTGCGTCACATTTTTTATGCTCTCCTATGGGAAAAGATCCCTGAAAATATAAAAACAAAATAGCAAGCAAAGAGCTAGGCTAGAAAATTTGCTTGTTTTCTATTTCCAGGGAGTGGGTGTTGTTTCACACAGGGGGAAGCATTAAAAAAATGTTATCCCCACCAACATTCTGAAGTGGAAAAGTCCACCTTATTCTGCCACATTTGTTGACCCAATCTCAGACAACACACTTTGCAGATTGTATATTGTCAGAACGTAAGGAGAGGAGAAAAGGTTGAATACTCGCTCATAAAAGCTCCACACCTGTGAAAAGCCAGCACACGAAGGAGAAGGCGTCCAACCTTAAGTGTGAAGGCACATACTTTTTGATGTCAGAGAATAAAAATGCAGTCCCTGGCAGCATTCCCAAGTCCTAGGATAAGTATATAGTGGGTTTTTCCCTGAAATGAACAGGAATTAAACTACACTAGCAGTTGTTAAACTGAAATAATTCAAATAATTCTCCCACAATTACAGAACAGGGAAGAAATGCAACCAGTCAGTGCTGTTCATACTTGTTATTATAAGAACTAAATCTATCCTTACAATAAAGGATGCTAGCCAGATGTACACACTTCAGTGGATCAATTTACTCAATTTATTCTGATGTCATCATTATATATTCAAACACAGGGGAAAATGCAACATCCACTTCATATTCCTCAAGAAGGAGATTGATTAAAACTTGAGAAAGCGCCAAAGGAATCAAAATGCTCTAAATAACATTAACCTATCAAGCCACACAATTTACTCAAGAAGAGCACTTATATCGGCTTTGTGGCCCATCCTTCCACCCTAAAGCTGACATATCATAGGTGTGTGGTGACCTTGAGTCACTCTATCACAACCTGTGAATTCATTTCCCTCACACACAGCTACTCAGTGATCCA